CTGAACTGGTTGCTGAGGGTGGACGTATGCCTAAACATAACCTGTCAATGTTGACCGCTACCATTAATGCAGAAAAACCACCGACAGCAATGACTTGTACAAAACCTCCAGTGGGGATCTGGAATCCTGTCACAGCATATATGAAACCAAGGATGACGGCGATAATGAATGCTATGCAAGAGAACGTGAGGTGAAATTGAATCCCTTAAAGTCGGTAACTCACAGAGGATGGTAAAAACGATGAGAGACCACCATGGAAGGGTGTTGATGCCAACGTACGCCATACCAATCGCTAGGCCTAATGATACGATGAAAACAGAACCGTACCACCATTGTGGAACCTCTTTATACACTTTCATTCGCTGAAAGTGAACACTGGAATGCAACGTTGAAGAAAGTCCGAAGGTAAAGAAAAAAGTATAGCTCACTCGTCAAATTCCTGCTCTGACTTCAGGAAGTTGAAGCCTTTGAAAGCTCCCCATAGCTCTCTCCAGTGCCACAAAAGTATGTGGGAAAATGCTGCTCCCATGGAAGCATAGCTCATAAGGGTAGAAACTGCGTAGGTTGTTGTCATGAACCTGAAAAGCATTTTCATCACAAAAAGATTACTATGCCTGTTGATGTACGTACGGGGGTCCAACTTCAGCATACTTTTCCGGGTCGAGTGTATTGTCGGGGGTAAGGATCGCGGATTGGTTGTACGATGAGCCATTACCAGTGAACAGCGCAGTTGACATGAACGGTAACCCCCTCGAATACCCCTGGAACACGTCCCCATAATAGCATCCGGCTGATAGCGAATCGATGAATGATGTGACAAGGGAATGATATGACGCGACTCACTCATCAGAGCATAACCAAATGCTAGCCCAATCCAGGAAGAGACTTGAGTCTGCAGAGGCCAATATAAAGGATACGCTTGTGTGATCAAGCTCCAGTCGAAACTGAATGACAGCAGACCTAAACCTTCATTGGACCCTCCCCCACCAAAGATGTTGCGAACAATAGGTGAGCGACCATTATCAGCCAGGCAAATAATAGAGAACGCCGTTAGAAGGGGGAACATCCAAGTCGGAATGATTTCCTGTGGGTAGTAACATGAGATCAGCGAGGGTGAGCTCGTGTTATGTTGCTTCACCGACCCAACAAAAGATGGCCAAAAAGACTGAGGAACTCTTCAGCGTTCATGAAGTTCGATTTAAAAAGATTTACCGATCCAGAAGTACTTCATTTTCTTGCTGTTGAGTAAACCACCAAAGTGCATGGATTGCAGAAGAGAAATTGACGGGAGTTGGTTCGGATACAGTGCGTAAGTTGGCCATACGAGGAGGGTTCTTAAAAGCCCTGCAAAACCATATCCAATCGACTGAATCATGGGGTCAATTCCGATATCAGACTTAGCAAGCGGTTGGTAGCACCTGCGATGCGAATGTTTGGAAGATTGCCGCTCCAGGACTCAAGGTCACGCCGTAAAACAAATCAAGTGTTGCTATTATACCAATAGCAGTAGCTGTAGTTGACGCAGTAGATGCCATAATTGTGATGCACGTATGCTCCTTGATGTTGAACGGCCCAGGATTGAGATGGCGCCAAATCCCTGTCGAAGGCATAGCATAATGCATCTTCATACTCTCGATAAATTGAAACATGGTGAAGCAAACTGCAGAAACTCACTGCATTACCCAGAATGTAAGATATAATGAGTTGAAATAAGGCCGACACTGTAGCATTCTGGGGTTTCCAAAAATAAATCTCGGATAGAACAGATCCTGAGACAGATTGAACGTCAATTTGGGTCGATATCGAGAGTAGCAGGCTTCGTCCCAACTCACCAAAAGTCGCTAGCCCGGTACCAAGGACCCAAAATCGGAAGGTCAGTGCGGGGAGCTCAGGATTATCCTCATCTGATATGATCTAGAGACAATTCAACATATTAAGCCGACCGGTCGTCGGACACTCCTGTTGTTAGACCTACCAAGTTGGTGATATCTCCTGCCCCGCGGACGACCTGCTCAGACTCTTGAGAGGGGCTCTCTTCTAGACTCTTTGTGCTGTAAACACTGAAGCCCTTTAAGTCTTCCTCCCGATGCTCAAGCACCTTGGATGGCTCCGTAAGATGAGAATGGGCCATGACTCGCGCAGAGATTGTATAGGCAGGTGAGCTTCCGATGTTCCCTTAAATACGTGCACCTCGGGTGAAAAAAGAAGATATGATACTCAGATGGGATAACTCTGCTTGAGAAACGCAGACTCCCGTTGATAAGCAGGGTCAGACCGATTGCCGCTGGCAGGTGACGCATTCTACTAATACCCGGGAGCCCAAACAGAGTGTCACTACCGATACGTGGATCCTATGTATGACCTGGCAGTAGGGTTAGGTTGCGAAAGCTTCAAGGATACAGCTGACAACACCTACTGCTTGGCAAGCAGTGACTCTGGACCAGTGGTGCCATATTGAACGTTCGGGCCAAGTTCTGGCTAATGATTGATGAATTTCAATACTTTGAATTTAAGTTTCAATTGGTCGATACTCGAGTGTACCGTACGCGTAGTACATAGTACCAAGTTAGTACCTCCTACAATTTTAGTATCTTACTCTCACGCAGTCTCACGATTTCCATGTGTTCGCGACGGTCAGGGCTGCGCCGCTGTATAATAATATACCAATTTAATCTTAGATGTAGTATCTACACATGGCGCGGACAGCCTTTGGCCGACCATCGCTGGAAAAGTCGAGGTATTCGTAGTTGTTATACGTAGATATCGGCATTCACCCACACCTAAACTTCAAGGACTTTGTTCTACACGTGCTTGTCACTGGTCTATCGTTTATTATTGGCTGTAGACCAACTGGCGTAATCTCTCATTCGAGTGTCGACGACAGCGATTGCTCTTTCGTCGGACATAAGTGACCAGAACCTTTTGAAATTGACAAATGTCCTTATTCCTCCTACAATTGTACATCTGAACCGAGCCTTGGGCCAAAGCTTCTTTTCACAAATATCGATACGCCATGTTTTTACCGCTCTCTCACCTCAGCCATCTCTAGCACTGCCTCGAGTACGTACCAGAGTACTTCGACCCAGAGCCTTCCTCCATCTTACCAACATTGTCACGTCTGTGTTTTCCAAGTAAGGTGAGTGCATTTGTCGGGGACTCTTGTTTAATGATCTCTTGGGTAATCTCGATCTGAACAATCATTATTCATGTCAGCTCTTGCCCTAGCCAAAATATTCAACGTTTCTTACGATATCTCCCAACAGGCGCTCCACCAGCTAGACGATAGCCTCAATAAAGCTCGACAAGAAAATTAGGACAAGAATGCTCACCGCTTCAGTCGCGTTCTCCCTGATGACGACCCGAAGGATTTCAACTTTTTCCAAGTCAGGGGCAAGTTCGTAGTTCGGGACAATCCACCCTTTAGTTCGCAGAAGAATCTGAATCCATTTCTGTTGGATTTCAGGGTACGACTCTTGGAAGCTGTCGGAGAACCGGAATGTCACAACCGGAAGACCGTCTTCATAGTTCTGCGGAACGTCAGAAAGCGTTGCTACCCAGTGGTAGAATGCTAACCTCCGAGTTTTCTTCGTCGAAGTCGGTAGTCCCATGGTTATTCTCCTGAAGAATATCTTTGGCTTTTGGCCGGTGTATATCGCTGAGAACTGTGTACCAGCCAGACTTCTCGAGAGCACGACTCAAGAGCCTTGCATTTTTGAGGTCATCCTTAGCTACCGCACGGTATCCCTCAAACCCAAGGTGCACAAAGTTGAAGTATTGAGCGATGATGGGTGCGGCAGGACGGGAGAAGTTGAGCGAGAACGAGTACTCGACTGAACCAAGGTAATGCAACTCAAAGATGAGGTCCTTCGGAAGGTATGCCTTGGAGCGCCATACCACCCAACCGACACCTACGTAAGCCAGACCATACTTGTGGCCTGAGGTGTTGATAGAGACAACCCGCGGAAGCTTGAAGTCCCAAAGCAGCTTTGGGTGCGCAAAGGGCGCGACGAAGGCACCCGAAGCTCCGTCGACTAAACGGGAGTCAGTGACTATGAAGGGAACAGAATACAAAGATGCCTCACCGTGGATGGGGATGCTAATTCCTGTCTTCTGCTCGTATTCGTCGAGAAGGTCAGACATCTCCTTCACTGGTTCATAGTGACCGGTGTAAGTACTGCCGAGGATAACATAAACGCCAATGGTATTTTCATCGACATATTGCATGGCTTTCTGGGGGTCGAGTCTATACTTGCTCTCAACACTGACTGGTACGAGGCGGCATTCAACCTCGAAGTAACGTGCAAACTTTTCAAGAGCGACTTGGGCATTGGCACCCATGACGATGTTGGGGCCAGGCTCATGGATAGACTTGCCCTCAGCCTTGCGACGCTCTTGCCAGAGCCGCTTCATGGCAAGACCACCCAGCTGTATAGCTTCCGATGAACCAGTAGTAGCGGTCCCAATTGCCTGATGCGTCGAAGGTGCATGCCAAAGATCAGCAAGGATCGAGACACAACGGGTGTGAATTTCCTCTGCACGTGATCATGAGTGGAAATTGCTAGAATGGTGACTATTTGTGACATACGCGTCATGGGATACTCATCTTGATCGATCAAGTTTTTGGACATATTTTCCATCATCAACTTGTCCGCAGGCTCTGGCATCCAAGTGTTTACAAAGGACGCAAGACTTTGGGAAAGTGAGAAGACAACAAATAATACGAACTTCAAGAGACTGACTTAAGACTGGGAGATCCATCAAGGGCCAGTTCATCATGGATCAGCTGGTACGCGGTCTGCGCGCTGGTCCCCTTGGAAGGGATATGAAACTTGGGGATAGATGTGATTCCGTACCGCGCTCCATATGGGTGAGATGTAGAATCAGACTCCCTAGAACTATTCAGATGATGATGGTTGGAGTTCTTATCCTGAGAACATTCTATCAGTCAGAATATGATAGAATTCGGTGGCGAACCCCTAACCTTGGACTCGCGGATGAGTTTGCTAGGATTGATGTGCTATGTGGAGCTAAAGCGAAGTGTTCCACGAGCATGGAAAATAAAGACTCACCTTTGAGAGAGACATAGTAAATGATAGATGTGGAGAAAGCTAGAGATGGGCGGTCAATATTTGCGGTCTTATATGACGTCGGTCCCATTTAAGTGGTAGCGATGGACTCCACATGATGCGTGCAGAGAATGTTCTTTGGAGCGGCCCTCTGAGACTCACTTTTATTAAACATCATGCTCTAGATTTTCTATTCCTGGTGGCCGCAAGATCGGTACCATATTTAGTCTGGCCAGTCCTGTCCTCCCCGTTTGCTGTCCCCATCTCTGCGTGATCATCGTAGTCCTGGACTCTGACACGTGTATCGACATCGCGATATCGGTCCAAGTCCCTGTCCCTGTCCTTTCTGCTAGTCTCTTCCTGTCATCTCTGTCTCCCCTCCTCCTACAATCATCATCCCTCCTACTGCTCCTCCTTCTCTCAGGTGACCGTAAAGTACTCCTCGAAACAGTCGTGTTCCCATTGCTGCTTTCCTCCCTACTGCTCTCCTGTTTCACAAGCGGGATATGCCGCTTCTCATCCCCTCGCCGTTTCCGTTTCTTAGTACCGTCATACAGCACATCTTGTTCCTTTGCCCCAATTGCCAAGAGTGCAGGGCGCGATTTCGGTAGGTAAGGCTCCATCAGCCAGCGCATTGATTTTCGCTCTTTCCAAGCTTGTAACAGCCCCGCCGTCCACCCAGCCCATGCTGCAGAACATAGCAGCCCCAATGTGGTGTGGGCATGCGCGCATACTCATCGATAGTAGAAAATTAGCAACGTCTTGCTGGAGGGCGTCAGTTTCGCTGGGAGGAACGGGAATGGAATCGATCTGGTGTGCCGAGTCCATATCCCCAGCCAGCAGCGCACGAAGGGCTTTTTGGTCTTCCGTCTCTTTCACAAGAGCATGCTCTTCTACCGTCATATTCCTCCCTTCGTCGTGTTGCCACAGTGCTCGCACAGAATTTGACTTCTTTATTGCCGAACTGGATACCTGACAGCTGGGAGTCAGAGTTGATGGTGTCGCGCGTTCCAAGTCCTCCGACACTCCCGTCTGCACCTGTGCTCACTTTTGCAGAGTCAGGGATGAACTGTGCGGTCCATGCACGATATTTTCGTGCTGCCTCCAGCCAGTCAAAATTCGGCTTCAAAAGAATGACAAGTGGACCTGTAGGGACTTTGGTCCTGGGGTTTCTGCCAATTACACTAGTTGATGAAGTAGCATATGTACCTTTTGTTAGCTATAGAAATGGTGAAAACAGCGGAGGGAGACGCATTGCTGTTCACCAAACTTGTTGAGAGAAGTGATAAGCTTATCCTCGAGATGGTCGTCTTCATCATCGCTTGAGTCTGGCTCATCTTTACGCCCACCATCAGCAACCACGATCTCGCTCTTCTCTTCATCGTCGGGATCCTCTCAGGAGCTGAAAGTATGAGAATGGCCTGTGAGTGGAGTGCCATAAGCAGAGCTTGCGGCACTGACGAGGAAGCGCTGAGAGTTGAAATTTGTCGTTGGCCCTATCGTCGTCGGCCAGTGCTGGGGGTTTGTTTAATTTCGACATGCAGCATACTCGAATTAATTGCTTACAAACACAACCAAATCCAATAAACGCGTCGCGACTCACATCCCCAGTCTGAGGGACTCTAACCGCGCCTGGAATTTGAACATTCAACATGGCAACCCTCGATTCAATGTGGGTAACATTTTTACACATACATGGACCACCAGAGGTCTCATTTATCTGCACAGACCAACTCCATCATGTCCACTTGTCCGATCGACAAGCACCGTTGTTCCTCCAACTGAGACGACACCGTCTTTCTTGATAGACCCAAAGAACAAGTCTTACAAGCACCAATATGCAAACATATACTTTACACGTCTGACAATGCTAAGAAGTGCAGTGGAGGAGCGGGCAAGAGCTAGGTGGGATGGACTACAAAGTACGTGACAAGAACCTTTCATTCTTTTTGAATGCTCACAGCAGGTACAATTAGGTGAACCGCTCCATGTAGCGCGTGTCCTTGATATTGTTAAATCCCAACTATGCTGGGTAATAGGTACAGTCTACATGGATATGCCACTCAAGCCGAATGTTCTGGAAGACATTGGCCGAGATGTGAGTAACTTGCACACAAAACCGACCATTCTCAGTTGATATGTGTAAAGCATTCCATCCCGGCTCCACCTCCACGTGAGAAATTCTACTGCGATGAAGACAGCGTTATGTTGGAGGATGAGTCGGGTCGTATTAAATTGGTCGGTAACCGTGTCAGTGAGGAACGCTTAGTCACAGGCGTCATCGTCGCCGCTCTGGGCATGGAAACGCCCACAGGAGATTTCGAAGTTGTAGATATGTGCACTGCGGGACTTGCAACATTTGCGGAGGAAGAAATTCTTGGCTCAGACGCCATGGATGTGGATGTAGAGTAAGTTTATTGCTTTCCAGATATACAACTGAAGCCCAAGACGCTTTATGACCCAGTTTTTCACCCACACGAGATGAATATGTGGCCGTCATTTCGGGATTATCCATTGGGTCACCCTCACCTGCGGATGCGCAAATCCAAATGCTTGTAGAGTACCTCACGGGAGAAGCAGGCGGTCCTGAGGACCAACAACTGGCATCACAGATAACACGGCTCATCATCGCCGGAAATTCGCTATCACTTGAGGAATACAATGAGGAGGGTGAAGACGAGAAGAGACCAGTAAGTTAAGGTCCCTTCTTTGTAATGACAAATAACTCAGTAAATACCAGAGAAAATTCGGCGCATCAACACAGGCGAACTTTTCTCCTCATCCGAATCTTGCTCTTTCCGCTCATCTTCATGATTTAATTTCCGCACTTCCCGTCCACATATTGCCTGGAGAGGATGATCCTTCTGGAATCATTCTTCCACAGCAGCCTTTCCCCCGTGCGATGTTCGGAAAGGCTGCAACCTTCGAGTCATTCTATTGCGAATCAAATCCGGCCTGGCTTCGCGTAAGATGTGATGAGACCGAGTCATCGATACCGAACGAAGGGCGAACTTCGTCTTCTAAATCAAATCATCCGCCTGTCACTCGCAGCCTATTGGTGACCTCAGGACAGCCTGTTCTCGACATGTACAAATATCTTCCAACCCCGCCCTCAAGCCTCGTATCGATTGCTGCTTCAACCCTAAGATGGCGCCACGTTGCTCCAACTGCTCCAGACACTTTATGGTGTCACCCTTATCGAGACCGAGACCCTTTTGTTTTGCGGAAAACTCCGGATATATACCTTGTTGGCGGAATGCCCAAATTTGGTACAAAGCTGGTAGGTTCAGAAGATGGATCGGGCAGGGCAGGGAGATGTTGCAGAATTGTTCTAGTGCCTAGCTTCTCGCAGACGGGCATTCTAGTGCTTGTCAATCTGCGGACTTTGGAAGTGCAGTGCGTGGATTTTGGGGTCGAGGGATTGAGTGCGGGTGGCGGAGAGCAGCGGCCTTCAGGAGATGATGGAGATGCCATGGCAGAAGGCTAACAAAATTTTATTGATTTTTTTCTTCTTTCGGTCAACATCAAATCGCAATTCAGGCTGGAGATTCCTCGGGCCCCTCTTTCCCCTGAAGTCTTCACGAGCAGTTGTCGGTTTAATTTTGCGCCACATCTGGTTGAAGCCTATCAGCATCTTCTGATTCATGGAATTTAGATTGATTTGGCAGGTGTAGTGTTCAGGGTCACGTGGATAATAGTCCATCATCAGTTGTGATTGTGAAAGGCTGTCAAAGGTTGTCCTTTTTTTCATCCCCATTTATTGCTGAAGAAGCCGTTGTCAAGTATGACAGAACAAAACAAAAAACCAAAAGGCTCTTTTTTTATTCCGGGGCTCACTTCAGCTCTCCTTAGCCTCGCCTACGGTTCCCTTCTCAAAGTGCATTCAAGGATTCTTTAATCATTAATCCAACGACCTCGGAGGAACGTTTAAAAATTCTTATCGGATGGGGCACTTCCCTTTTATGACGCTTGTATTATGCTGGACTGCATTTGTTTGTTGTAGTGGGCGCAGGTTGCCAAGGAGTGAATGCCACACGCTCGACATAATTAAGCAAACCACTGATGCTTATCTGGGACGGTCTTCCTATTGATCATTTGATTTCCGATTGTCAGGATTGTGACTCCAGCCTTCCGAAAAATATTTCTTTCTAGACTTGTGGGCGTGTGGCATGTCCGCTTGAATCTTTAGGGTGGCGTTCATGCCACAGCTTCTCACTTTGACCTTGCTTTGACTTATCATCACACATACATAAGGTGCGTTGCTCCAACTCAGATCGACCTCATTCCTCTCTCACCTTCTCTCCCGTCTTAGACTTACTTCTACTCACTTACGTACGCGCGTTATAATCCGGACGTCCATCAAGATACTCGTCGAGGCTCTGGGCCGACATGCCCATCCTCGTAACGTTCATGCGCGCCGACACCGAGGTTTCCTCGTGAACGTCGAGCGCGCATGAGCCCGGTAGCGCTGCAAGAGCAGCAATCTTGGCGCTACTGTGCGCACGGGTGCTGAAGCCGTGCATCGCTGCAATACGGTGGAGGTTCGAGGAGCCCGGTAAAAAGCGCCACTCCCCTCTGGATCGTGTCGAACACCCTGGACGAGACTCTGGACCCCGCTTGATTGAGCTTACACTGTGTGACATGCAGTCAGCGATTGTCACGATAGTCTCCGGCCCCAATGTCTTTTCTTTCCTCCCTGTATTCTCTGTCATGTAATCTTCATACACAAGAGTGCTGAGGGCGGTAGCTTTTCCCCACTGGGGTTTTTAATGCACCCGTTCCGATGACGTACTCTTTGTGTCAACTCGGGAAAAAATAATCAAACAATCTTTGTACCATCATCTTCTGTGATGACGATGAGTGAAAGTCTAATTGGCTCTGAGCAACGCATTGCTGATTTTTCTACTCTGGCTCTATAATGTAATGTAAGTACATGCAAGTTGTTGAGCATTCGGTACTCAGTACCGGGCCAGTGTAAGCAACGTTGCAACGAGGACTATCTGAGATCCTGAATTCATCTGTCACCATGCTTAAAGGTCAAGTTGAGTCGGTATAGTCATAAAATGCCGACTAAAAATATGATAAGGAATGTTTTTTGGTATTTACACTGAGAAACACGTCTGGTATCATGTCCTTAAGGTAAACCTCCTGTAGTATTCACAGTACAGTACGCCAAGAAACACACGAAACAATGAAATATCACTGATTGGACGAACGCTCGAGTCTTTGTCTGGTGGGCGAGAACAGCCCTCCAACGACGCTTGACATCGTGTCCGTGATTTGCCGCTGTTGCGGTTGCGTGTGCTTGACGAAAAAGAGTTGCACGTTGGTGGAATTCCATATCCCGAGAGGTGACATCCCATGCACATAAACCCCTCCCCATATGAGCGACGTCAACCAGACAATTGATGCATCCGACCACTAATCGCTGACTGAGTATCTTCCGCAATTCATGAGAAAAAACATACCATAAATCGTCTCGGATATAACACTGGTGCAGGAGGTAGAACATCAGTCAATGTCACACTTTGCAAGAAATCAGTGATAGCGCCAGCTGAGTTAGCCTTCTGCCTGCCAGCCTGCAGATTCTGGATCTTTGGCAAGAGCTCCGATATGACCAGCATCACAGTATCCAAGGGTAACCTGTCAACATTTAGAAGACACTCGAACACCAGCGAGCAAGTGCTTACCCTTGTTGCCAAGACGTGACCTGGTTTCATGAAAGTTAGAGCCAGATAATGTTTTGTTAGTGCGAAATGGGGCTCACCCATTCTTGGGTGGGTAAAAACCCATTCCTACCAATGCCAGCCGCAGCCATGCGATCTCCATTAATCGTGTCCGACGACAATGACCGCCGAGCCTTCATCTTGCCTCTTGCCTTCTCTGATGTAGCTGTTATAGTACTGGTACTTGTTGTGGGGCTATTCTCCGAAGGTAGAGACGTGAGTGGGCGGGTCTCGGTTTGCTCATGGCCACCCAGGCCAGCTTCAAGGTCCTCACCAGAAAACGAAGTAGACTCTATGGTGAAGGCGGGGTCGCTTTCGTTCTTGAGAAGGCGCGATTTTTCCTGGTGTGCACTCTCCACGGACACGCGCTCCTGCTGTGGGCCATCCTTTCTGTCGCGTTCTGCCTGGCTCGCTTGCTCTTCCTTGATCCGTTGTACACGCTGGATCTCTCGAAGTCCGCGGGTAAGAGTGAATGTCCCTAGCTCTTCGAAAGTTTTTTGTGCGGTGATGATTGCATACAGAAGATTGGGGTTATCGGAAAGGTGGTGGAATACTACTGAGTTGAAGACCTCGAGCCTTGGGAACAAGTAAGCGTCATGCTACTCCCATATGACAACTACTCACATAAGAAACAGAAGTCTCGGGTGGCTCTCGTCGGATAAGAGGAATAGAGGGTTTGAGAATGAAGTGAAGAGCTGAAGTAAACGATTAGATGCAACAACAGACAGGTTCTTAAAATATGGAGCCGCATTCGCGAGCGCGATGATAAGTGCCGGGTATATGGAATTGAGGGAGCCTGAAGTAGTTGCAATGATGGAGTAAACTGACTACGAAGGGTTAATGTCCACAAATGTAAAAGTCACTTGTTCGCTCACAGTAATCATGAAATCTCCAGCAGTCCCATGAGATGCCCCCTGAGATACCCATTTTGTCGGTACCTGAATGTTTATTGGTAATGAGAGCTTGTTGCCGAATGCGGACTCAGCCGATAGCGTCTGAATAATGTATGAGAGCGCTCTGCAGAGACCGTGTTGCTCTAGAAATCCATTAAAATATATACCCGCTCGATAGATACCTACAGAAGACGTACGTGGCTTGTCTTTGATCTCGAGTGAATAGCACAGAAGATATGCAAGGACATCAACTGTTTTATCTGAGTCCAGTAGGTAAGCACGGAATTTCTTAAAGAAATGGTCAGACGTCAGATCGGCACGGCTGGGTAGACGACCTACTTACCTTGTTGAGCTCAATGATCTTCCAAAACAAAACAACTGTACGGGATCAGAAGAGTGGGGCGAACATAAAAGAGATGCGTACTAGTCTCAGGCACATAAGGAACCGACCTCCTGGATCCAGGGAGTAGATTGTTTGATATAGCTAGCTGCTGCTCTAGAATGGCAATGATGCCACTCAAGATAAAAGCGAAATCCTGCGTGCGATGCTATACGCCATGAACAATAGTATTCTCAAACGAGGAAGACAAATTTACCAATTTCGCCAAAAAATAGCGGAAAGCATTTGTTTGTGCAGTCGGGGATGATGAGGTAGCATCACCAGAATCTGAAACGATGTCTCTGGCTGGGCCACTCTGGAAATCCAATAAAACACATAAAACTTGTAGGCACATGCCCACAAGTGCTGTCCTGGAATCTTCGCCTTTGAAGACTAAGTGATTGTAAGGGACCTTGCCGGCTACACTGGCGATGGTCATATTGTTAGTTGTAGCGGAGTTCATCACGGTGTTTAGCAAGGAGCAAAGTAATGTCAAGACATCGCGTCGGGGCGTCTTTCGAACTACATGCAGAGTGTAAAATGACGGATGTGTGAAGAGAGCGGCAGGCGGGATGTATATCTGACGTGACAGAAGGACAAGGAGGAGCCGTAAAACCTCAGTTTTATTGGAGTCGTATGCATGATTTGGTCCAGAGTCAGTCGTCGAGCCTACACCCTTCTCCCTAGGGAATTGTAAGTCAGGCATTTGTTTTTGGACCAACAATGCATACCATATAACATAATTGATTTTGTAATGATCCACTTGTATCTTCGTTGGGAGACTAAAACCGCAACAAAACAGGAGATCGTTGACGCAAGTGAATAACTTTTCTCCTAACGAAGGTAAGGTTTTCGTCCGTTTCGGTTGAGGGATCTGTGATTGCGTGTTAGAGCCATGACCACTTTCACTCCCATCATCATCATCTTCGATGACAAACTGTGGTTCCTGTTCCGGAGCTGTGGGTACAATTTCGTCTTCGTCGACTTGAACCTTCTTCCACAACACCTCGAGCTCAAACGAGTTGGACTCTCCCTCAACCTCAAACACAACGGGTAGTACCCTTTGCAGGACTCGCAGACTGTTCAGGACCTCCTTCGTTGCGTTACGCTCTGTACTCGAAGTCTTCATGAAGGAAGTGGCATACGACGCCACAGATGTCGGTGGTATGGATGGGAAGGTATGGTCAGACACAAGATTGAACAGACGAGACGTCACAACTCTGATGAGAGTCGCTACGTTTTCTGGCGAGTCAAGTAGAGCTCTACGAACTTGGGAGGTCTCATTAGCCGCCCGCACTAAGAACAAAATGCTGGGACATACTGTCATGGGTTGATATGAGGGAGAATACATCAGACGGAGTGTCAAAGAGGGTGAAATACTGAGATATACTATTCAATCGAACATTTGGACAACAAACTAAGTATCACCGACCTGGTCCCAGTAGCTGTCAGTTTCGGCTATGTGCTGTAGTTGACAACTTGTCATTATAGTCAACGCCGAGATGGAAGCGGGTACCACAAACTCACCCTCGTTGTATACAGTTTAGATATTCCCTGGGGGCGACTGCGAAACGCCAGCTTCGCTTCGTCGGTCAATAGTCCAAAAGGTGCCGTTAATGTCTGTGGAAGTTTGGCGAACATTGTCGTATGGTAATCGTCAGAGAGATATGCAGGAAGTGCGATGTCAAAGGCCTGTGTAGACCCGCCTTGAGTGTGCCTGCAGTGCCAGGGTCACTTTCCAAGTCGGTGCCTTGTACAACACTTATTTGTGGACCGCAGTGATGTCGGATGCTTCCGAACTCCCGCATTGCTTCCGCAGTTTCTGCTCAGACACCGTGTGTCATTGCCAGACACCTACCAGACATTGAAACGAAGATATTCGTTCCTTCTTTGCTATGCAGTGCTAGCAGGTCTTCTCCAAATTGCCATGTCAACTAGCAACTACAAACCTTCCTGCAGCCAAGTCTTTGTAGCGACCCAGAAATTTTCTCCGTGTACGACAACATAGAGATAGCTACTGCAGACTGCAGTGGCAGTTCTTCTTATGACTCTAAGGGCATTCCTTCGCTGTTGCCGTGTGGAAACGTGGCACTTGTTTTTGCACTCAATTCCCATCCAGAGATCGAGATGACCCAGGCCTCGCTCAATGCCCATACGAAATGATTGCCTAGACTGCACATGAGGTGGACCTAACTGGACCCAATCACTACAATATAAGAGATACACCAAACACCCAAGCAGCTTTGTCACTGATAGAAGGTGTGTTCAGGGAAACAAAATCTTGGTGATGGCGAAGCCTTGCCTTCCAAATCATGGTTCCCGTTAATTGTTGGAAAGTCATTAAAAGACCTGACGAAGAACAAGGACGATGAAGATTTAAATAAATAGATCAATGACACGAACATCATTCTACATACCGCGCTTTCAAGAGTTTGATGTCGGCGTGACGTTCAAACTGCATTCTCCACAGTTTTATATCCTGAGTGTTTTCGTTCAGAGTCTATGCCACACGCCACACTCGCCAGCGTTACATACGAAGGACGCAAGTGTCATCTACCATGCATGAATGGACGGTGGACAATCTACAGTCACCTGCTGATAACATACAGCTTCAGCTTCGTGTAGATATTCACATAGAATTGTAATAACCGGGACGTCCGGGAACCACCGTCGTAGCCGTCTTGAGTCACACGCATGGATGAGCATCTGCCAGATTCTGCCTCCTTGTATTCAACATCCACAACGTCTAATTTACAGGACTGATTAACCAAAAAAATATCCATATACGTACAGGGTTTGGATTGATTGATTCAGATGATTAGTTTCTTTCGGTGATCACGATCAAGTTTTACATCGTGCGCATTCATGGAGACCCAGACTTCATATCTACGTCTCCTAGCTGCTGGCTCCAACGCTCGCGGTCAGCTAGCCAACGGTTCTGATTACGATTCACATACTTTCACAGAGTGCCACTTCATAAACTGCACACAGGGTACGCTTCCTCACAATACGCTCGGCATCTTGCAGCTTGCGACTGGAGCAAACCACACTCTCGCATTGTTGGAGTTTGGTGACGGCCGAAGGGAGCTTTGGGGGTGTGGAGATGGACGTAAAGGGCAGCTGGGTCCTGAATACATGGGACAGTTGACAGAATTCACGCCGATCAGCATACCCTTGTACCAAACTTATGCTTCCCAAGGATATACCTGTTGTCTCATCGCTGCCGCTTGGGAGACTTCATATCTTGTTTTGAAATCTCCTTCCCGATCAAACGTGGTCATCTCGATGGGTTCGAATGACTTTGGGGCACTCGGTGTGGGCACAAAACAAGCTACAGCAACTCCGGCGGTTGTTTCGTTTGATCACCTCACTATCGAGGGACATTCTACCAATCCCGATGAGCTCGTTGTCGAGTCCATTGCTGCAGGACCTCGTCATGTCATACTTCATGTGCGAGCCGGTTTCAATAATGAAGATACGCTCATCGGCTGGGGTTTGGCCAGACATGGCCAACTAGGGGACACGAAGATCGTAAACTATGACCGCCCTTACATCATTTCCCTTGATGTATCTTCAGATCCGGTGCAAACATGTTCTCTCGGTCTCCAACATACCATCATCTGCCACCAATCGGGGCGGACAACAGCCTTTGGATCTAACAAGAAAGGACAACTCCATAGGATGGATTCTTGGGGGCGTGTTCGACAAGTTGGATGCACGTGGAATGGGACATATCTTCTCAGAGACGATGATGAAAATACTCTTATATCAACGGGAAGTAATGCCCATGGTCAATTAGGTCGGGAGTCGCAAGTCGAGGAAAATGGGGTTACCGTCGGGCCTGTCGAATTTACCTTATCTCACGATGGCAAATTGCCTTCACTGAGATCCCTTGCTTGTGGCAGCGAACATGTGATGGCAGTGATCTCTCCATCTGGCTCATCAGACATGGAAGTTTGGGGTTGGGGGTGGAACGAGCACGGTAACTTGGGGCTGGACCATATGGATGATGTGTTGAAGCCCATCAAGATCTGGCCAGCAAGGGGACACGCGCTGGAGGGAAGAATTGCTCGAGTGTGGGCTGGAAATGGGACTAGTTGGATATTGTTACAAATATAACAATGAAGCTTTTGAAGTGCGATCTCATGAATGTGTGTTCCTACAGTACTGACTCTAAGTGTATTCCCCACCACTTCTCTGCTGCCTCGTCAAGTTCCACCAATCGCCTATCCTCGCCTAAAGATAACCATCGTGATGGCTCGTCAATAACTTTTCATCAAAATCCCAAAGACGAATATCATCTCGACCGTGTCCTCCAGACAATGCAACATATGCTGAACGGAGCAAGTTCTCCACTGCAAAGCTGAACTTTCAGAACTCTATCAACCCTCTCCGGCCCCAGCCTACGGGATTAACACGCGCTTTCAGGGAGATGGAACTCAGATTCGTGTCAAGTACAAGGCAAGAGCTGTCGCTAATGCTGTTCCCAGTGCGCATCTGGGAGGACCTCGGAGAAAGCCTGTGATTGGAACCAATATATATATATCGTTATGCAGTTCTCTGTTGATATCTACATTATTGAGGCAGAAGTCATTGCGCCTTATGCCTTCAGTCTTAGTCCTAGAGTCTCGTCCAGAATGGGTACAATAGAAAAGAGAATGGCTGGCACTTACTCACTGCTTGAGAGGATCAACACGAATGACGATGGCACATCGTGTCGGTGAGTGAAACTCGACACGTTTGACGTTGAACTTGACGGATAGTGAGAATATGTGCAGCGCACGCTTTATACATCTTCAGATGAGTGAGCCAACCTGTGCATTGCTAAAGTAGCATCTGATCCAATCACACATCTCTAGGACGACATGTCACTAACACACTCCCATATGCCTCGCAGATTCTCCTTCCACAATGTGACTTTCCCGTCGCCACAACTAACAGCAAGAATATTTCCAGCAAGACTCCATGATACACGCCATACGACATCAGGGAATTTGCCTGCAGTTGCCGCACTAGGTGCTCCTGAGGCAGTCGAAGGATCAAGGGCAGTCTTCACCCATGGTGAAGTTAACGAGTCTTTTGTCCAGATCAATACTGTCTTATCCTTGAAATCAAGATATCCTCAGACAAAAAATACAGGAAAAAAGTACTTTGTAACGAACCTGAGATGCTGTTGCAATATAACTCCTTGGCAGACCGATATTGGGTGCCCATGCAACATCACGCACCCAATCTGTGTGTCCATCAAGTGTCTCTTCCTCCACCCACGACTGCGTGTCTTCACGGTAGCCCCAGATCTTGACAAGATTGTCACAACCAGCGCTAGCAAAACGTTTGAAGGGTGCAGAAGGCTGTGCGCCAGATTGTTGCGGGTGAATGAGCGATCCGGGCTGTGTCGCGGGCGCCCAAGAAACAGAGTTGCAGCCGATGGCATGACCATTGAAGATGTCAGCACCCCACTGACCATCATCTGTTACCAAATGTTCGTCAGAGATGTCAGCTGTGAATAAAAGAGTGCACGCCTTTGAAGGTGAGTACAGAAAGCTTTCCATCTGATGACGCGCAAGCCAACATTGCACCAAGCTCATGAGGAGCCCACGACACGGAGTTCACTGAAGCGGCGTGTAACGTGTGCTCCTTCACCCTTGTCCACCCACCATCGGTCGTGCCTTGAGACCGTTCCCCCCATATCAATACTTTGCCATCGTATGAGCAGGAAGCAAGTATGTGTCCAAATTTCGGGTGTGCCCAGGCAACCTGCCACACTGGACCCGTGTGCCTGTCAGAAAGGATGCAGAATGATGAGAGGTTATTCAACATGTACATCAAACCACAAACCCCTTTAGAGTATGGCCACTAGATTTCAGTGGTTCCCCACCAATAACGTCAAAGACCTTGACCGTTCTATCTGAAGAACACGTCGCTAAACGCTTGCCATAGTAGTCAAGTTGCGCATCATGCTAGGGTTGAATTTTTGAGTACACGTTCAGGATGCGATGATGATGTTGTTGCATACAATCATGTCTTCATGAGCGGTTTCAATTGGAACTGCTTCGGTCGTGGTCGCAGACGGCATGTTTGCTCGATACTGCAGATGATTTTGGAATCTGGACAATGGTGGGGACGTGTCGTGACAGCAGCTAATCTGAGTTTGAAACCATCACAACTGTACCAAACCACTATGTAACTTATGACCTCGAGGTCAACCCTTATACGCAATCGACAAATGATATGACCTGCACACTTTCAGACTGACAACACAGAGAGATGGATTCCATCTCATTATCATCGTTATCCAGTCTCACCACACACCAAAAGTCTTCTCTTGAAAAAGGTGCGTCTTCAATGATCATTGCATGTGCGTTGGATATACAAATGAATGCAAACTTCATAGGAGGATACAAAAAATTATCAGACCTCTTACTCAGTACGTCAAGTGATATCTCGCGCACGACGCGCATTGCTCCATTAGAGGTCACCAGAATTCTCGAGGCTGCATGTCGAGAACACGCAGTGCCCATCAACAAAATCAAAGACCTGCCGATGGAAGGCGAAGAGAAGTTCACCAGTGGAGATGCTGAATTAGATAGTATGTTGGGTGGTGGAATTAGAACGGGAATGCTCTGGGAAGTTGTAGGTGAAAGGTGAATGCATTGGATTGCTTATTAGCACAGAAATTTGATATACTTTTTAGTGCTGCGGGCAAGACACAGTTAGCCCTTCAACTCTCGCTGTTTGTTCAGCTCCCTTCTAGGTTAGGAGGCGTTCTAGGTTCCGCTTTTTATCTGACGGTTGCGTCCCAACTGCAAACTACACGAATGGAACAAATACTCAATACCCATCCACTCTTGTCGCCTTCACTGTGTTCTTTCGCAAATATACAGCACACATCCGTTCCAACTATCGACAAACTCATTTTTGTCCTGTCTAAATCTTTGCCACAATATATATCTGCAAATAACCAAAACTCATCATCAAGACCTCTCAAACTGATTGTCATCGACGCTATCGCTGAACTTTTTCACACTTCCAAGAGGACCACCACACAGTTCCTAGTCGAGCGGTCTCGCAGACTATCTGAAATAGGGATGCTTCTGCATTCGCTCGCCAGCAAGCATCAAATAGCGGTCCTAGTCCTGAATGAGGTCAGCGATACGATCAACAGGGATACTGCTCCTTTGGATAGTGGGCAGATCGGCTACAAGGATCAGTTCCGGTGGTTCGGTCGTGCGGACAGTATCCTAGGGGAGGATAGGAAAGAAGCAACGCTCGGTCTAGTCTGGTCGAATCAGTTGAATGTCAGAATATTTCTCTCGCGAACAGGTCGCCGTCGATATCTTGAAGAGAGCGAGCACTCAAGGAAAATTCAGAAGTCGGTCTCAGCGACGTCGTCGAATATTTCAGCCGGCGATCAACAACCCGTGCTTATTAGGCGCCTAACCGTGGTGTTCAGCTCGGTGTGCGACCCTGCCTCTTGTGACTATGTGGTTACTGCGCAAGGCATTTCAGTTATTCCTGGCTCTGCTGTTCTGCTTACTGCTCGACCTGCAGTAAGTACAGCTACACCTCCAGGGACCACCCATGATTCGATGTCACCTCACGGGGACTTCACTCAAATGCAAAAGGCTCAATTAGCGCCGTTGGATATCGGCCATATTGTGGATAGCACAGCCATTGACAGTAGATATTCCACACCAGACAACGAGCCAGGGGATGACGAATGGGACGCTTTTTGGGAGCGAAATGCGTTACCGGAGTGTGTGTTTGAGGAAGCAGCGAATTTGACTGAATCCTCGTGATACCTAACGTTGTCTGCAACAACCGACCGTTTGTGCATACGCTGTTTTTATTAGCCAGTGCGACATATACATATATGTAAAATTCCATACTCATACAAAGCTGTCCCCAACATTGGCAATACAAGTACAAAACCAACATGTCTGTCTACAGAGGAATCTCGGTCCACCTTTCGTGGGTGTGTCCCTCCTTCATGTGTTCTGCCTTCTTGCTGGAGGACTTAGGGTACGCACTCTCCAACTCCACGTCCAGCGGGTGTTGGAAGGCAGTGAAATGTGAACTTGCTGCTTTAGTGATCGGATACCGAGGCGAGACCTTAGTGATACCGGGGTGTTTATCACAGGATGCTAATACGAGACCAACCAAAGCTGAACGATAGTAAGCGACTGGGTTGGAATAACATGATTCGCTGAACATACCAAAGATAGAAGCCATATAGAAAACAGCCAGGAGAACATTAGCCCTTGTGCAGTCACCAGACTGAGAAAGGTCATGACAAAGGGCGGTCGCGTGATTTCGACGTGCATGGATTGTCAAAAGGACACAAGATGCTGGTAGTATGTCAGAATGATGGCAGGTACGAGCAGCAAAGTCATGTCACGTACTGACATCCGAAAGCCACAAAGTGCCAAAGGTAGCAATATTTCTAGTGTTGCTAGATTCTGCATGTTGCCTGCAACACAAGAATGAAAAACTGCTCGAGCCGTCAGCTTTTCACATTTACAGTGTGCCATGGTGAACTCACGTAATGAGGAATACCAACAGAGCTACGATATTTGACGCAAGAGCAACGGCCTCAAAAGCTGAAACAAACTGGTGTGAATGAAGGCTAAACCTAGGTGTGAAGCACTTACGTCCTGCGGTGTGCGCAACAATATCCGGGCTTAGAATCACAATCGATATGACATTGCAGATACCAATAACGACTTGAAAGAAGCAGATGAGTGAATGCATCGTACGAGAAGAACAGAGCATGATGGCGTACGGAGTAAGAGTCTACAGGCAAGAGTGAATGGGAAAGGCATGGTGTCACAGACAACCGATGTAGATGGGGCGATGCAATGAAAGTGATGATGCACAAGAAGATCGAGCCTGCGGAGGAACGTTGTGTGATGTGCATTTGCCATGTGCTGAGGTTTTATATCGGGCCAGCTTGCCACAACTGAACTGTGGTCTCGTCGAGTGGCAAAAGATAAAAGCGGCCTGTGGAGGAAAGAAGCGAAAGCCAATGCAAGAACATAGTATCACCATTGTTCTCAGAGGTGTGGTCAATAGGACACGAAAGCTGCTTTTCTGTGTGGACCAACCTGCGGTGCATGGACCACCTTGCAGGCCCGGTTGATAATGCTCGGAGAAGATCACATGAGTTTAATTACATACGGTGAAACACATACCCGTGTTAAAATGATCAAGGGTGCTTTGCTATACCACTCAGAAACGTCACAAAGAGGCCAATACACCCGGACATCGACATATCAGAATCCGGTACTCCTCACGCACACAGTTAGGAGGGAAGTCGGAGTCTAGTAAAGTTAATAGCACAAGTGCTGCCATTTGCCCAGATTATAATATCATTCCGGCATTACTACTTACCATGAAACTTGAAACGCCGAATAACATCGATATTTACTGTTCCCCGAACGTAAGGACACTGTCTGTTCAATACCTGAATGTACGTTTGTCGTGCTGCACACTGGCACTAGCACTTAGACCACGGGTAACTGTTTGGCAGGGTCGACGCCGAATCCAAGTCTGCGACAAGTTGGAGGCTTTCGCGGGCCCATGCCAGCCGAGCACGGGTCACTTATGAATTTCTGGCTCTGCAGGGTTCCGGGCCATGAGCGAAATGCATTTTGCATGTGGCAGCAGTGCACAACTACGTGCACATTATGTGAATGTGACCTGCTGGTTGTCTGTGGTTTTTCAGTGATGGGTCAAGTTAACGCTAGTGCTGACCATCTAGGTCAAGTTCTATAAACATCCGAGTACAAATAATATATATAGAACTTGCACTGCAATCGTAAGTCATCTTCGCCGGCTTCGAAGGTTACTCACGACACCAATCTTAATAACCTCACCAAGGCCAGCAGCCTGAAGAGAACCTTACAGCTTATGGAAGATGCTAGTTGAATGAATGAAATATAATTATCCATATACAGGTGCCATCAATTCAATTTGAGACACCAAAGGCAACCGAGCCAAAAGTAACAACTAGAGTACAGACTATGAGCAAAGCGGACGTAGGAAAAGGGTATGGAGATGAAGACGTTGATAAAACTTTCGAGACAAAACCAGACGCCTCCTGTCCAGGACGATCTATGGCTCTCCGAGGGCACCAACCGCGACTGAACATGTGCCGTTGAATGCGTGCTTATAGTTCAATCAACCCCTCCTGCCCAAACGTATTCTCGCCCGAATAACTGACATAAAGGAAATTATCCTCATCCCTAGAAAACAATAGAAAACAATGAGATCTGACTTGATAGCATTCTGGGGTGCGCTCACTTGTGCTCCTCATAGATAGCGCTCATAAGAGCTGCCGTCGGTGGGAGAACCTCGTCAACGAAGATAAAGATGGCCTTCTCTGGTGCAAGCTTGATGCGCTTCCGGATGACGTAGACGAATTGGCCGACTGTCAGATCCTGTGTGGAGCAAATGTATAAAATCGATGATCAGCTATCCATCGGCACTCGTGATAAGCAGCACAATGCGCACTGAAGGTACAAGATACTTCTTCTTGTCGATGGTAGGAATGTCTGTTCGGTCGGCCTTCTCACAAATTACCTAGAGTCGATGCCACTCCTGTCAGGGACACTAAACGTGCTAGGGTATAAGAAGGAAATGCTAACAGGAATACGGTCAGGGTACTTCTGTCTGATGCGTTCAGCCTCCTGCTTGCGCTTCTCTGAGAAGGAGAACACGTTAGTAACTCATGACCACATGACGACTGCTGGGCAATGATAGTACGTACCAAACGGGTGCTCATCCTTGAATTTAGACCTCATGACGAACGTTACAAGCGATGATCGAGTTCAGTAAGTGGGAAGAGTTGACTTCTGAAAGGAAAGAAGGACTTTATCGTGGGTGGTGGTCAGGTTCAGGATGAAATGAGGACAGCTCGCTGTGCCGCAATATTCAAAGCCTCCTCGCGGCTGTGACGAGTGACAGCCGCGTGACTCAGCTGTGGTGACGAGGCAGCACGCTGACAAATACGACAAATATAATGTATTATAATTACAACGCGGCAGTACACCTCAGTAAGCCCCCGACGTGCCGAAACTACGATACGTATACTTAGTATTGGGTGATAATAGCTGACAGATTCTGTGTGAGAGAAAAAAATCGAAGCTCTGGAAGTAACGTTACAATTAAGCCTCATGGCCATTGGCCATTCCGGCAGCCATGCCCACTGCCATTGCGTTGCCCATCTGCACCCCAGTCCCGTCTGTAGGCACGAAAACAGTCTTGTTGCCAAACGCTTGGACACGCGTGACTTCCACTCTACGCATCTCCATCCCGCGTGCGAATTGGTCGGTGACCTTGGCATCAGCCGCCGCCCTGATACTGACAGCTTGCGCGTCGGCCTCAGCGGTAAGACGGATAGCTTCCGCTTCTGCAAGAGCCTCGATCTTTGTACGCTCAGCTTGGGCTTTGGCAGCGGCAATGACACTATATGCCTCGGAATCGGCTTGCGCCTATTAAAAAATGTTTGTTATGAACAGCTTAGAAAATAAATTGATACCGACATTACGGCTTTGAGCCTTGATGCGAGCAACAGCGAGAGCTCCTTCTTCCTGTTTGACTTTATTCGAGTTTTCTCGGTCGACATTCTGCAGCATATAAATGAAAGGAATGACTATATCAAAGAGGATGAAACTTACGGCAGCCTCGACCTGCGCCTGTAACGCCCTTGTTGTAAGCTTGTCCATGGTTGACGCAATTTCTCCCTTGAATTGACGGTCGATCACGGCTAGAGTACGGTCAGCTCCAAACGTCACTGGTATTGAAACACCCCATGCTTACCAAGATCCTTCAAAATGATTCCATACTCGAGTGCGGCCTCGTGCATCTCGTCCATGGCCCTGGTACGAAGAGCGTCAAGGAACGCAGATGAAGGGTCCGTGCCGTCTTCGAGGTTGTCAGGTCCAAGAGAGCGCTGCTTCACCATGGTGCTGTAGTCAACTACAGTGCGTGAGTCAAACTATCACACAAGAATAATCGATGGACATACGATGCGCGACAATTTGTGTGAGGATAGACTGGGTTTTGTCACGGAGCGCATCATAGGGGGTGTTGTAGCCATGTGTGGTGAGCTGCAGACGAAGTGAGCAATCGCTGACGAAAACCAATTTGTCGAAAGGCGCACCTTCAGGGGTTCCATTAATTGCCTAGCAGTTTTATGAATAACTCAAGTCATCAGATGCATCATTCTCACTGCTCACCATTTCAGATAGATCCTCAAGCCAACAGGCACTTGGTCTCTCGTGAAACTGGAAGCCAGCAACGTAAGATAGGGTATCAGTGACCGAGCGAACTACTTACATATCCTTTGTGGGCATCTCGAGCTGATTCTCGCCGAGCGTAAACAAACCACGCAGTGTGACGTTTGGATTTGTTATATAATGTTGTCCAGCAGGGAGTAACTCAAGATCGTCTCCACGCTGGAGAATGGCACAGTTATTTGCCGGGATGTTCAAGCTGTGCACCATAAACAATCAGAACAAGAATATTGGAATAGGGAGCGGATGAACAATAATGCCACAACGTATTCCTGTTCTTTGCCTGAAGCAATGTGACTCCGCATCTTGATTTCGGCAATCCTGATCGAGATTCAAATGAGCATCATGAACAAGATGGGATACAGAGGTACGTACGAGCCAAGGATAGCGCCTGTTACTGCGTCCTTGACCGAAGTAGATAAATGGGTCTGGTCGACAATAGCCAGAACGTCATATGTTCCATCAATTGCGTACGCAACAAAACCTGAGTTTTTAACCACAAAAATGCGATTTTGAGGATCAGAAATGACTGCCGCTTGGTTCTGGGACACCTGAACGACTGTTAAACCCTGAAACTGGATCGCGGTGTCCGAGACTGATGACCGCCTTTCAGTATGGCATCGTGTAGAACATCGGGGCACGCACGTCCTTTGGTACCACACCATTGACGGGCCCACCAATTACGGAGGGGGAATCCAGGGTATCGACCAGGCTTGGTCAATATCTTGGGGAGACCACCGTGATTGATTAAACCAAGGAAACCTGGAGAAACTTCCCTACCGGTCCACGAGACAGGGATCTAGTAGTGATATTTCGATGTAAATCGCAAATGTCACGGCGAGAAATCCAAGTTCACCTTGTTTGACAAGAGACCCGTTCGCCCGGACTGTTGTAGGTTAAGGCGGTGAATACCAGAATGATGTAGCAATCAGGGTACTCACGTCTCGAAGTTGCCTGTCAATTCTCTCTAGTGCGGCAATGATGCCGTCCTTAGCGATTGGTACGACAAACGGACGTTCTTCCAATGCATAGTCTGCGGTTTTGGAGAAGTCGTGCAAAGACACCCTTTCAAGTTTTCTGGGTTGGGTGCCAGTGGAATAACTGTCATAGCTTTCGTCGATGCGGTCGGATTTCTTGAGGCCTTTGTGTTTTACAGGGTAGGAAGAACCACCGACGACGGTGTCGGCATCCTCTTCGTCATTAATTCTGCTACTCATTTGGTCGGTCGGTCTGAGGTTGGTTGTGTGTTAGGATATATGGTGCAGTGGTCCCCTTTAGACTATTAATATAGGGGAATCTAAAACCTTGACGTGTGAAATCTGTATTTACACTGGCCCTGTAGTAGTCACAGCACGGATCTTACTACAGCTGGCAGGCTGTGGGGGCGTATATGTCGCTAGTCAGCGCCGCCGATGATCACTAAAGGACACAGAAAGCGTACTAGGCCTGCTGAGGAAAGTAACAGCAAGACTGTGATATCCATTCGGTGTAGTAGTAGTAGCGGTGCAGTCACTGCAGTGGTATGCCAGTGCGTAGCGGAAACTCCACGTAATTTTTGGCACGTGACACTCACATAGCGGATTTAATATAACTTTGTAACATATTGAATTCAACAACCATAGTTTTAGCTGCAATGCGGATTCTATGGCTATTCTTGACACTGCTGCCACTGCCATTGGTATACTCGAATTTTGTCAACAACACAGAGAACCTGCTATGGGGGGCTTATAGACCCAACTTGTACTTCGGCCTCCGACCAAGATTACCCCAATCCCTTATGACTGGTCTGGTGTGGTTCGGCACTCAAAACTATCAGTCTATAGCCAGTATGTGACCCAAGCATACAACTACAGCAAATCAGCTAAACACTTCATCAGAGGCTCGTCACGCATGTGACCAGGGCGATGGCCTGGACAGCTACACCTGGACGCACTTCAATCCACGACAGGGCGGTGTACAAACACTGCGCGACAGCCAAAACAATGTGGAAATTACAACCGAGTTTTTGAAGGTGCCTGGTGGCTCCCATGGTGGTAGTTGGATTGCGCGTATCAAAGGAGCACCTATCAACCCTAGTGTGTTTCTATTATGACCTGCCATGCACAGTCTACTAATACTTCCGAACAGTGTTTCCATCCAGAATTTCCACCATATTTTATCTCGGCCTAGAAGGACTAGGCGGAGTAGATATGGTGACCGATGAGAGCGAGAATGTGAGTCCTAACAAAGTGCACCCATGGCCAATCGAGTTAATTGAATCCTAAGGGAATCGATGGTCCGGTAGAGTTCTCCGGCACTACGCCTGACCTCGGTGATTTTACTATCCGCATAGTCGATGGTATGTTCGCTTTGTTATCACTTGATATAGAGCGTCGCCTCATCCTGTGCAGCCCCCGACAACGAGGCTGTTACTACCGGCCCTCACTCTGAAGCTTTTGAGGAACGGCTGGGAAAAACTCACCTGGCCGGCTTGCGCCTGCCACCGGGGCAACTATGGACCGCGAAAGGTGAGTCATCTCTCTCTCGGAGATTGTATCATTCCGTGACAACACAGGACATCAGATCACATCATGCAGAGCATCGTTAACCGTGCAAGCCCGATTGTTGAGAAATACCGCACTGCTGAACAGGCGCCTGATCCTTCATTTACCCTGCAGCTTCCTGATGATATTCTCACTGCAAGCAATCTTTTTGCTGTCCAAAAGTTTTTCGAGGGAGAGTTCCAGTTTGATGTCTTTTTCGAGAGTGCCAGTGCGAATCAGACGTTTGATGGTTTGATCTAAAGTACTTTCTATTCAAATGGACACTAAATTCCTACCACAGCGAGTACCATTGATCAAGGCATTGCGGCTGTCGTAGCGTCCTTCAATAGTCGCTTTGAGGAGACATTCCCAATCCCACCTTCATACCCAGCCAATGATGTTACACGTTTGAAGTCGTTTAGTAAGGCTATCACCTCCAACCTCTTCGGTGGTATCGGCTACTTCTACGGTACATCCATCATCGACAAAGGATTCGCGTATGAATGGGACCAAGATGATGAGATCGATGACGCAGATGATGGACAGAACGGCGCTCGGTTGACTGAACCCCGTGCTCTGTTAACTGCTACGCCTAGCCGCAGCTTCTTTCCGAGAGGGTTTTACTGGTAATCAAATAGTCGTTCAAGTCAAGTTCACTCATTTACTTTTACAGGGATGAGGGTTTCCACCTTCTACACATAGGCGCATGGGACACAGAGCTTAGGTATTCGACAATAGCCCTTTGTCCTATATCTCGATATCTGACTATTTGTAGTCTCGAAATTCTCAAGGGCTGGATCAAGCTCATTGATAACGATGGCTGGGTCGCCCGTGAACAGATCCTTGGCGAGGAAGCGCGCAGCCGAGTCCCTGCACAATTCCAGACTCAAGTGCCTACTTTCGCAAACCCTCCAACTCTAACGATGGCAGTAACAGCTATCATCAAAAAATTCAACGCTGCACATGATGGACCTTCCGCTGCAGATCTTGGGATGGACTACGGCATGAATGTACAAATGCCTGTTGCCAGCGAGCCGGAGTCCAGCGCGGCTCTCGACCGTGCTGCTGTGCAGTCTGTTCTGCGCGACATGTACAAGCCCTTGAAACGGCACTATGAGTGGTTCCGCCGGACGCAGCGTGGACAGATCAAGCAGTACGGCCGTCGGGCGCGGTCACGCACGGAAGGGTACCGTTGGCGAGGACGCTCTGAAGCACATGTTTTGACGAGCGGAATGGACGATTATCCGAGAGGTCCGCCACATGCAGGGGAGCTTCATTTGGATCTAATCAGCTGGATGGGCTTCTTCACCCGAACAATGAAGGACTTCGCACAGTTCATTGACGAAGAAGAGGATGCTGCAAGTTTTGCTGAGATTGAGTCAGCTATAATAAATAATATTGACGGTGACAGATTTCCAGTTTCTCAAGAGGCGCTGATTTGTTGTTGACTGACACAGATCTGCATTGGGACGAGGAAAGCGAGATGTACTGTGATGTTGGGATTGACTCGGACGGTGAGCTCTTCTCCTCCTGTGTGTCATTTAAATGCCTATATGCTCTCTAGATGAATCAACTCATATCTGCCATGCGGGTTATGTTTCACTCTTTCCCTTCATGCTCTCGCTGCTCCCGCCGGACTCCTCACACCTTGGGCCCATCCTTGACATGCTACATGATCCCGAACAACTCTGGTCAGAGTATGGTATTCGCAGTTTGAGCAAGAGTCATCCTGAGTTTGGGAAGGGGGAGAACTACTGGAAAGGTCCAATATGGGTACAGATAAATTATATGGTGCTTGGCGCGCTGCATAACACGTATGCACGTGAGGAGGGACCGTTCCAGGAGAAGGCCAGGGAGATATATGAAGAGCTGAGGAGAAATTTGGTGAATAATGTGTTTAAGGTAGGTCTCCCTCGAAAACCGTCTCAGGCGTTGTTCTGTAATGCTCATTTTGACTTAGGAATATCAAAGAACAGGATATGTATGGGAACAATATGATCCCCTTACCGGAGAGGGACAGAGGAGGTTCGTATTCTATCTGTGATCATTTACCTCTGATGCTAATCGTTCATATTGCAGCCACCCTTTCACTGGTTGGACATCGCTCGTCACGCTCAGTAAGCATTTCCGCTCTACCTTGGCCATGAAATTATCTAATGTCTACCTCTTATATAACAGTCCTCGCAGAGATATACTGACCTAGCCAGACATTGGCTGGGGAAAAATCGTTACATAGCGGTATATACCGTCGATAGAATCAGCTGGACATATGGCATGATATATAACTTTGCAGTACCGTACCGTGGAATACATGGTGGGAACTTTTCACTTTTAGACTCACTCGCCAGACGGCACAAGTCGTCCAGTTTACGTCCAGTCATGAACTATTTCCCGACTCCCACGATAATGTAAACGTGATATGTGACTCCAACAGTTCGTGAGCTTTGCTCAAATCAACCCGACACAAAACTGTTGGTGCCGAGCACAATCATAAATATTTTGATCGGGGTGCAGAGTTGTCAGAGTATGTTTTGAAATTCACTGAAAAAAACATTAGTGGCCCGCCTCGAGGTAATCTGGGCCTCTAAAAATTATATGATTCCTTCTCTACACATGTGTAGGAACGTAATAGACCTGCACACGATCTCCGAAAAGAAGAAAAACTCCACAATCGACGATATCTAACAACATACATTACACAACATAAACTTTGGACCGTGCTGAAAAATTGAAATATCATACATACTACAAGACAGAAATATTGGTGATTCATTCCGATTCTTCTTCATTTCCTCCTCAGTGGCGATGACACAGGCGTAGAGGCATCTCATTCCGTGTCAACCTCAGGATAAATACGCATGATGCGCCTGAGCTCCGCGTCTGGAACCCTCGGTGTGAACACAATAGGGCAAGAGACATGTGGCATCGCCACATGCATGAAGCCCACGTCATCCAACGGCTTCGTAGGATCTAGAGTGAGCTGGAAAGCCCAAAACAGAAGGGCTGAGTTGATCCACACTGATCTGCACCGGTCGGTATGAGCAGCGAGGATTATGTGCATGAAAGAATACATTTACCTGTTTGCAAGGTGTAAAGCGGGGCATATGCTGGAATGAATGACAATCAAAGAGAATATAACCCGAAAGACGACACTACTTACCGCCGACCATACCCATAGACAAAAAATGTGAGATCGTCTCTTAAGCCGCCTTGGTCATTCATCCAACGCTGAGGCTTGAACACGTCAGGATCAGGGTAAACTTCCGGATCTCGCGAGATAGCCCTGACAAAGTAATTGTCAAGACCTTCGCAATTTGAAGGACGATATTTACCAATTGCTACCGAGTACCGTAGTTCCGGCGGGAATGCAATAGTTTTCCTGCCCAGTGAATATCAGATTACCTTTCCCATGACAAATTATCAAAGAGCACTTACCCAAATCACATCTTGAGTTGTTCGGTGAGGAAACCCTGCAGTGTGAATGATGTATGAACTTCAGGTACGGGACCCACAATGAAGATACTCACCACTGGGACTCAGCGTTCTCCATCTTAAAGCCTCAGAGATGAAGGCGTCCAAAAGAGGAAGGGATTTTTGATCAGCGAAGGTCGGTGCTTTTGTGGGGAAATCATTGAATCAACAGGACTGCAAGAAAATACTACGGAGCTACCTCGGTGGCTTCCCACGACCGCATTAAGCTCAGCCTGGACTTTAGCTTGCTCCTCGGGAAAACATGCAGCTGCCATCAGCACAGTGCATATTGCTGCAGTAGACTAACACTCGATATCAGCCACATAACGTCAGATTCGGATAAACCAGGCCCCACCGAATCACCTCCAGCTGCAAAAAATGTGCCAGGAAGAAAATGCGCCTCCGACTCGGACAAGCCAATGAGACGTTCATTTTCTAGCACATATCTCCCGAACGAAGGACCTGCGTCCACATTACTCTGCTGTGAGACAACTGAGATAACATGTGAAGACTGGTAGATCAGAGACGCGTACTGATTGTTGTTTTAAGCGGTTCATCTGACTAACAAAGACTTTCCGGCTGCTCTCAAACTCCCTTTTTAGATTTCTGCCGTACCAAGGAAGGTATTTGAGCCAGGGGATCGTGTCCACCCAGTAAGCGCCAGGGCTTAGGACTGTCCGAAATACAGACATGAACTGACGAATCGCCCTGACTTCGGGGTCAGTTGCAGATGTAGGTGTATCCTTCCCATATGCCACTGTCAGAATCGTCGTCATAGCATAACTTTAAAATATTCGCAAGTCAAAATAATATGTCCTAGACCTAGGAAAGTGCTTACCTTATCACGTGGTTCTGGAAGTCGGATGGATCATCAAGAACATTAAGGACTGTGTTCTTCGCAAATGACATCTGCATAGGCTGATATGCCTCAGCTGCTTTAGGCTGGAGATGCGTATGAATCGCTCTGCATCACCTTGCGATGTCAGATAGCGGCTTTTTTGTCACAGTACGCAGAGTACGAACCTACGCATCCGACGGAACTTGTCCCCGACGCCTGTGAAACCAATGGCTAATCCGCCGGTAATCATTTGTCCAGCATTCATAGGAGGACGATCAGCAAGCACTCTGCCCTGCTTCTCCATAATTTCCACAGCTGCCTACAGCAGGACTTTGAGCCTGGATATGACAGCTGAGCGTGAAAGGACTAACTTTGTGGCGGCCGATAATGACAACTTTCTCAGTTCCTGCGCGAATGGTAATTACAGGACCATACTCATTAATCCATTCCGCTACAGTAAGAAATGAACTGACCACCGATAGAACATGATTAGAATTCAAAAAAAAAATCATGGATGAAAATCCTTACTTGCGAGGGGGAAGGAAGTGTCCCATGAGTCTCCAATTGGGAGGAGAAGGTGGGAGAGGAAGGCCACTCTTTGATCTAGGACGATAAGCCCGAGCAATCACTGCTACTCCCAAAACACAAGCTGCAACACCGAGGACGAGCTGCATGTTATCAGGAATGGGCATGTCAGACAGTAGTAGCATGGATGATTGGAAGAGTGGAAGATGAATAGGACAGACCTTATCGAAAGCGCATTTAATACCCTTCACCAATCGTGGCTACCGCACGATGCCGGAGGTAAGTTATACCTTTACTCGGACGCGTCAGTGCTAGGAGGCGCTGCAGCTGTGTGGGTGCTGGCGTGTGATTATTGGTTCACTGGTAACAGGCTGGAAGTTCGTTTAGCAGCTAATAGAACGACACGGAACCTTGACTCTTTTGGGTCTTTACGCGAGAGTACTGCAATTGAAATGTGTGAGCTCCGGACTTTCACAAAGTTGGTGTGTAATCGAAGCAAAGATTGGTAAAAGCGGTATCCTTGCAAGTAGATGCGGGTATGATTATTTATCGCACAATGGATTAAATGTTGGGTCCATTTGACAGGGGCCAGAGAGTTGTGCGCAGTCGTTGCACGAACACTCAGTTTGCACCATTATTACGCTCGATCGATGAGCCCGCGTAGTCTCCTTTAGGTAGACCTTTATGAACGATGGAATATAGTCGTTCCTCCTGACAGCACCTGTGTAAATTCTGTATCCGCTATGCGCATACAGACTTCGAAGTCCCTCCTGGAAATTCGTTCGTTCATACAATGTGATGAGTATTTAGTAGTTGTAGTCGCACCTGTTGAATGAATCGTTGCTCACACTAATATTGACCGCCACTGCAGTATGGTTCCCCGTCTTACAATCAAAGCACTTCCTGTTCATATCTGCACATGCCATCGCAATGTTAGTTTGTGATAAATTAACGCGGGAGGAAAGGATAAGATGAGGTGAGCGTGATGCGGCATGCCGCACTGCTCAACACATAAATTGAAATTACTTAAAGTTGACCGCCAATCTTACAGAAGAGTGCTTATGTCATCGGTAATGCACGAATTTGTTGAACTGAGCTCAAATACTGCGGAATCAGATTATGTAATCAAGATTGGGCCGCGTTGAATTTGCAAAACCTGTATTATGTAAATATGGAATGCCATTACTAGTAGGTGGTGTGCAACACATATCATCAGACCACGACAAGGGTAAATATATCGTAATCTAGAAGTGAATCGCTTTCCCGTAGGCAGCCATTGCTGCTTCCTTGAATGCTTCGCTCAGGGTAGGCTGTTGAAGAATGTACATTAGTATCACTTATTTAAAGGACATGGCAAAGTGCGTACGTGAGCATGCGTCGTCCGTGCAATATCCTCGGAGCTTGCACCGTATTCCATTGCCAGAACAGCTTCTGAGACCATCTCACCGGCATTAGGACCTAGAAAAGAAACATCGTGATCAGTATAGTACGATAAAGCCTCCATCTACCAGCCTTACCGATGATATGGACACCTAGAATGCGGTCCGTCTCCTTCTCGCTAATGAACTTCACAAAGCCCTCGCTGTCTTGGTTGGTCTTCGCACGTGAGTTTGCAGCAAAGGGGAATTTGCCGATATTGTATTTCACACCAGCGGCTTTAAGCTCCTGCTCCGTCTTTCCTACCCATGCTACTTCAGGGTGAGTGTAGACAACAGAAGGGATGCCGTTGTAGTTGACATGACCGTGCCCTGCGTTGATGTACTCGACAGCAGCAATGCCTGCCTTGTCATCAGTTCTGAGCCATAATACAGCACCGACGTGGGCTCACCTTCTTCCTCAGCCTTGTGAGCAAGCATAGGTCCGAAAGTCACATCACCAATGCACTTGATATTCTTCACTGATGTGTTGAACTGGTCGTCGATGACAATGCGGCCCTTGTTGTCTTTCTCGATACCGACAGCTTCGAGGTTGAGGCCCTCAGTATACGGACGACGGCCAACAGCAACAAGGACGACATCTGCTTCGAGCTGTAATAAACCATTTGGTAACAATTAGACTAACCCATAAACCACCACCCACCGTCTCCTGCTTGTCGCCTTTAGCAGACTCAGTCTGAATGATGACATTCCCACCCTGCTTGTCTGCAGAAAGGACCTTAGTATTGAGTTTGAACTTGATACCCTGTTTGGTGAGAATTTTCTGGAATTGCTTGCTTTGGGATGGTCAGTTTGAAAATCGTATTCTGCTTTCAGGAGAACTCACGCAACCTCCTCATCAATACCGGCACCTCCAATTGCCCCCAAGAACTCGACGACGGTCACCTCTGCGCCCAAGCGACTCCATACACTACCCATTTCGAGGCCAATGATACCACCACCGATGACGACCATCTTCTCAGGTACCTTTTGCAATTCAAGGGCACCAGTTGAGCTGACGATTTGCTTCTCGTCAATCTCAATAGCACCGCCTGGGAAGGGCGCGACCTCGGAGCCAGTAGCAATGATTACGTTCTTTGCCTCGACCTCGGTTGACCCGCCATCATTGAGCTGAACCGCGATACGCGTTGCAGATACAAACGATGCACTACCCTTGATGTAGTCGACTTTGTTCTGCTTAAAGAGCATCTCAATACCCTTGGTAAGGCCAACGACGGATTGCTCCTTGGCCTGCAGCATCTGGGGCAAGTTGAGGGAAACGCCAGCAACTGATTTCACCGTGAGCAATGAGTCAAGAAACGCGCGCGTGAGACTGTGCACACCATCAATACCACGCTTTTGGAGGTCATGTTTCGTTTGATGATAGAGATGAGAGTTGTTCAACATGGCTTTTGAAGGTATGCAACCGACGTTGAGACAGGTACCTCCAAGGCTGCCACGCTTCTCTATACATGCTGTCTGGGAAATCGTCAGTGCTTATCCATGTTCCGTCATCCGAACTATACCTTCAACCCGAGCTGAGCAGCCTTAATTGCTGCAACATATCCACCAGGACCTGCAAATTTTGTACTCATCAATTTCAATTGATTCTGACTTGCTGCAACTTACCTCCACCAATAATGACGGCGTCATAAGGACCTGAAGACGTAGCAAGCCCCCGGTGAGAGTTCCACGCGCCAAGCTGGACGGTTGCCTTGCGCAACCTCCGTGCAACGTTCTACATGACAGTAAGTAGTGCAGAGAGTTGGAAGGTAAAGTTGCATACCTTTTGAGTTGCTCTCTGAAGCTGGAGCATTGATGTGGTGGAAGCCGGACAAGTCCTTTGCAAACAAATTCTCTCGGTCGGAATATCGTGTAATCGTATTATTGTCACGGTGTCACATCACTGTCACATCCTATGTATAAGCAAGGGACCGATTATGTAGTAATGAGTGATTTTGATAAAGTCGCAAGTCCAAGAACTTAGAAGCGTGCAATATACGAGAATGTTCGAGGTCGGCATATAAAGTTGGTTGAGTTGTAAATATGGATCGATATCGTACAGGTCTTGAAATGAAGCAACGACTTGAACCCCGCCAGGCCAGCATAATCATATGTACGTGCTCTGCAAATTGTCACATTCACAATATATGAAAAGCGGAGATCACCGCCGTGAAATACCTAGCCCTGAGGCTTCCAAGTTCATGCTCACATCAAAGTCCTCAGCATTGAACGAAAGCGAGTCAAAGTGCAAACTGTCAAGCCGCAACTCGAAACTAATATCCCTTGGCCGTGAGGGCAAAGGCAACTCGTCATCGTCACCATCAAGCAGGTCGAGATTGCGACCATACTTGCCCTCGATCTCCCTTCCGTAATCATCGTCAACAAAATGCACCGCGGCGTATGGGACATCGGGATAAGAGTGTGTACTCGAGGTCGACGCGGATGTGGATGTGGAAGGAACCGTGAAAGAGGAAGGAGGTTCTGGAGAGAAGGAGAAAAGGCGGTGCAGCTCATTAACGGAGAAACGTTTGCGCGATGCTTGGGTAGAGGGGGGGTTGGGTGACGTCGGGCGCTCGTCGTGCTGGAAATCATCCGAAGATATAGGACGCAGGTCTTTCTGTGGACGTTGAAGATCCTGTGATGAGACAGGTCGCTTCAAATCCTTGCTGAACTTGGACTCGGGTGAAGGAGCTCGCTGAAAGTCTGCTGAAGACACTGGACGACGAAGACTATGGTCGTATGTGGGTGCACAGGGAGTGAGGGGCCGCTCGATGAACTCATACGAGGGCCGGATCTCAGCAATGGAAGGAGTGGTGTCAGAGCCCTTGAGATAAGGCAATGACGTAGTCGTCGAGCTCGAGAGGATTCCCTCCGAGGAAAACGGCTGTCTTTGGAAGAAGCTCGAAAGCTTGCGACTCGCCGTTGGTGGGACGTCCTCTTTGGAATGCAAAACGCCTCTGAAGATGCCTGGCATGCTCTCAGTGGATGTCCAAAGGTCCTTGACATGCGGTTTGGAGTTGTTCTGCTTGCCACGGGGGACAGAGACATTCTTTATGGATTGGAAGGCACGGGACGCACGAGCACGGAAAGTCTTTGAGCGCTTTAACTGTGGCTCTTGATTAGACGGGGACGGTGGGACGTGATCCGTGTGATTGGGTTTATTGTCCTTTGGACGTTTGACCTTGACGACCTCAATCACATCCGAATCCTCTCGCACATCATGCTGGACGATGCGAATGAGGTCATTATTGCGCATGGCAGAGATAACGATATGCTGTGGGTTCTGATGCTTCCCGCTCCTACTGCTAGATGTAGAGCTCCTAGACTGTGTGACAACCACTGGGCTTGCACTAGGCTGCTCGTGGTGGAAGGAAGAAGTAGATTCTGACTCGTGCAGCAAGAAGGGTACATCGGATAAGATGTCAGGCTGGTTAGCAGAGGACAACTCTACGGATCTGCTATTTTCTGGAGGCAGGTCTGCGTCAAAACAGCACCAAGGAGGATTTTGCGAGTGCTCTTCCTCGGGGGGTATAACGAAGACGTGGGGCACACGAGCAGAAGGGTCCGTGAACATAATGACAGTGGCTTGAATGAACGACAGTTGCGAGTTATAGCAAAACGATAGTAAATATTTGAGCGCAATAAGCGCAATAGCTTTGCGATAGCACTGGCGGTTCGATTGCAAACAAGAGTCAGCCCAAAGTCAGCCACAACAACTTGAACTTTCTCTGTTCAACATTCAACTTCACTTGCCTTTTACGTGAATATACTAGTCATGGCACGAAACATGAATATATCTTTCCTGGGCACCTCCAGCGGTGGTGGCCCTTCAATTTCTCGCAACTGCTCTAGTCTTGGTATGACATTTCACTTCGAGTCACTTCATGTCGATCTTATTACAGAGACCATCAATACTTAGTCGCAGACGTCATCGGCGACGGTTCGCTATGGAGTGCGCTTTATTTCTTTAGCGCTTGATTAAATTGACTAGCCGTCATCAGTGGTCGACTGTGCAGAAGGAACAGTGCGACAATTTCAGATGCAGCATCGCGGTCAAGGAGACCCAGTCCTTAAAGCGCTCAAAGTGGCCAAGTTATTTGTCACTCATATGCATGGTTTGTTTCACCAGATTTATGGAATTCTTATCTTTACTCCGGTGCCCTTTTAGCCGACCATGTAATGGGAATAATCACTTTCCTTAGACATGTCCTCCACCCGCCACTGATAGCTTCCTCTGGCGACCTCCCACCCTCAGACGGTCCTGTGTGTTATAAAGCTGTGTATGATATCCATGACTAACCCCTTAAAAGCCACAAATCGAACTTTACGGCCCTGCCGGCCTCCGTACATTTGTTCGCTCAATCTTTACCATGACCCTCACCCACACAGGAGAGCGCTACGTAGTCCATGAACTGCTAACATCATCTGACACGCCCACCTCATGCGATCCTGCCATGCTTCATCCGAGCGAATGCCCTGGTCAGAATTTCCTTTGTGACGACAATGGGTTCTGGAAAGGTGTCACAAGTGGTACGGGTTATTACGGTGAAGTTGTAGTTGATGCAGGGCCGATATTACATCGAGGTGGGAATTTAAACTTTTCTTATGCGCTAGTACTGAATGAATTCCCACAGACCCTTGCATAGGTTATGTCTTGCATGAGCCTAATCCTCCGCATCGCAAACTTGTCATTCTGGGTGATACATATGACGCATCACCGATTATCCCACTTATACAGCCTTCTGCAACTATTCCCGTATCACTCCTCATTCATGAAGCGACGGATACGTACATCTCTCGCCAAATTGACCCATCAGCACGACGAACCAAAGACGAAGTGGATAGCAAGGTTGCGGCAAGGGGTCACTCCACTCCGGTAATGGCGGGCACATTTGCGAAAAAAATTGGAGCTCAGCAAGTCGTTCTGAATCACATTGGTAGCCGGTGAGTACACCACATACTCTGAGATTGATCTCATTTAACTTGCTTCTACACTGTGGTATCATTCTTTTCAAACGTCATCTTCACGCCCACTGTCCGCCTTGCTACTCATTTCCTCAATTATCTCAGATTTCCAGCTCCTAAACAACTCAAAAATCCTCACGACTCCCGTTTCGCCGTCATCGCCGAAATTGAACGACAAGCAAGCGAAGCGTGGGGAGGTGGTGAAGCCGTTGTCGCATATGACTTCATGCGTATATCTATTGCTGCTGATCTGAATGAGGAAGAATTTTCGGATGTAGCAATGGCGCTGGAGGATGGGGTAGTATCACTAGAAGGAGTGGGTGAGGTGGCGAGAGGAAGAGGGCGTGGGAGAGGAGGAGGAGGGATGCCCAGAGGAATGAGCCGTGGAAGATGGAGAGGTCCGCAGTGGAGGGGACGGATCAGAGGTGGAGGTGGTGGGGATAGAGGTGGCTTCGGAAGAGATGACAGTAATAGTGGTCTCGGCAGAGGCAAAAAACGCAGGTTTGGGGAATAGGCTTCGCACTTCACGCCTTACACACGCGAGTTAGTATTTTGAAGGGCCACGTCATAAAGTAGCCATAATCTTAATTATGAGTTGGTTGTTACGTTTTTCTGGTGCATCCAAGGGGAAGTGTTACGGGCTTCATTACTATCAGACGTACGTGGACTATGCCACCGTTACTAATTTTTCTACGCTACGTCCGACAGCTTCTCCTTCTTGATTTATGACTTCGCGCCACTAGAAAGTCGGATTAATGACATCTTGCCAGAAGCAATCATTATAGCATGTGCGTTCGGCTCTCAGGCTGAGATCTCAGGCTGACGGTCACAAGGCGTGTATAGAGCATGGTGTGCGCATGCTAATCGTGATTTTGAGCCGTAATCGTACTTCTATGCACATAATTTCACCCTCGACTCCTGAATGCAATATAGCCTGCTAGGCTTATTTCTATAGGGCGCTTATTACTTCCTTCCAATCGCAGCACTCGTATGACACACTAGTGCGGCATCTAGTCTATAGATGCAAATCGATAACCGATTAGAATTAATTGCGGTAGGTCCATCACTGCACTTTGCTGCCAAGTTGAGGTTGCATGTCACTGTAGCCAGCTGCTTTCGAAAGGATTTGTGGGCTTCTAAAGGACTCGATACAGATGGAAATAGGAATTAGGCTAGGAAGCGAACAACTGTGTTCGTCGAGTAAGTATAGTAAGTACTGCAAGCCATCTGCGTACATACACAATGACTTGATGGGTTCGAGCTATAAATATATGGGAACTTTCAACCGAGAGAATTCCCAGAATTCCCCTTCATATAAGTGCACTAAGGGAGCTGTGTATCGGGTTTCTTCCCCCTTCTTACAGCCGTCGCGGATGAACATCCAGCCGTGGCAGCATGACGATCCTACCATCTCCGCAATCCTTGGCGTGTTTTCGGGCGCTATCATCTCGAGAATATGTCGACGAGCAAGTGGAACATTTCCACCGGACGAGGTGACCAAGGACATGCCTCTTAAAGCCCTCCTTGCGAATGCGGCTGTCACACTTGCCGTCCCAGCGACAGATCCAAAACTCCTCGGGACGGTCAGATCTTGCGTTCGCGGAAATGCGAGGGCGAACGTGCATGTAGGCGAAGTGCTTCAAGACGCTGGAGAATCCTCCTTCGATGAGCACTCCGCAAGGTTGACCTTGCACATGGTGTTGACACCGAAGGATATTCGGGTCACCGGATGATGCGGCGGGTGGCGTCAGTCCGCTGTCGCTCACATCACCACCGACAACGGCTGGACGGTGGGAGTCATCTGCACTCGAGACATGAGGATCTTCAAAAATGGTCACGGCATCTGCATAATAGCTATCATTAGATTCAATACACTGCTCTGAATTAGAGCACCTGACCTTGCCCATCATTCGCCAGCGAAAGTGAGCCATGGATATGTTGATTGCCTTCTGCGTCTTGGAAGGGAAAATTAAGCTCTGGAATGGAGTGTTTGTGCTGGAACCATTCGCTACCGAATGACAACAGCGAGGAGGGTCTACGATGCTCCCCGTCACGCATGAAGTTCTGATGAAAGTTGCTGATCATAGGAAAGCCCGCATCAGCGTATTCGACAGGCAGTGCGCATGCAGGCTGCGACATATATGTACGCAGCCCGTTACCCAAGGGGTCATCCTGTTCATAGCCAGGCAAACGCCAGGACAAATCGTCAAAACTGCTAGAAACAGTATGAGTTGAATGAGACGACCATCGATTCGGGGACAAACCTTTCAAAAGCAAGTTGGTTGTTGTCATCTAGAGCGACGGGGGTCATGGATTGTAATTCAACATCATCCTCATTACGAGGCGCGTGAACGTTCTGAAGAGGGCAGTAAGTATAAGACGCAGCAACCTCGCGGAAAGAGCTTACAGGGACTTTCATGGCTATAGAGGTGATATGAGTCTTCGCTGTCTCCAATCACTGGCGTTTTTAAAGACAGAAAGGCGCCTACAAGCCAGAAATTCTGAAAACGCGGTGGAGGGCGTGTTTACCAACTGGAATATTAAGCACCCATGATTTGGAACATCTCGACTTTTCACGTAGGTAAAACTCCCCGTGTTTAACGGCCCAGGTTCATAAAGGTCGGTAGGAAGACGGTGCGACTGGAGCAGCGGACAATGCTCATCTCGGCACGGCGATCGTCTTGCCCTAAAGCAGTCAATAAACGCTCACATCGATGTGGGATCACAATTCACCTCCCCACACTGCGCACGAGGAATGCACGCATACACTGGTTGCACCGGCCAAGATATGGGTTGATAGTACAACGATCGGTTTAAAAGGAGGTGTCGCTCTCGTGGTCCCGCAGCTATTATCTGACTACTTTGAGCCGCGTTTCATTCATTTACCCACCTTGCTGTACACTCACAGGGGAAAATTGTGCAAGGACATTACCCTGCTGTGTTTATCTTGAACGAATGAAGTCAAAGATTGGCCGTACTTTCCCACTTACTGGAGTTCGACAGATGTGTTTGAGCGTCTTCAGTACGCCAAACGTAGCCCACCGCTAGTCCTCACTTTTACCGACAACTTCGATCGCGCACCCTACCTGTACTGAAATCCAATAAAAAGTTGGTGAGTATGGGCAGGGGGAGCGTGTAGTTTGATTTTATTGTGACAATCTTCCAACATGCTTACTTAGATGATGTATCATAGCTGATTGTGCAGGAACAAATGCAAATGTTGAAAATCGATCGCAAACAGCGCCCCCCGGTTCCACCATAGGAATGAGGCTATTTACAATAAGTGCTTCAACGACCCGCGACCCTCTCGGAGGTTGAAGTGACCGAGAAAAACCAGGCGTTTTTGAATGCCAACTGTAGTAGTGGCTGCGTATCAGGGTTGTTCGATGAATCTGAATGTTGAATTGCCACGGAGAAACATACCCTGACTTTGCATCATGGTGATGCATGGAACGTAGAACGGAGGGCAACCTTGCCACGGAGGCACACCTGACAAGTTCCGTCGTTCAAAGATTCAGCAGGCCTCAACCTGTCCACGTGAATTGGAAGGATCTACCCCCTGCCACTCCCAGCCATTAATCACATTGCACAGCCTGTGAATCTACTTATCTTCTATCGAGGATATATCTGAAATGGTCGGTCTGTGGATGAGTCAGTGGAGTGGCTTGCGAGGGTGCTGTTGTATCTCTTAAGGACTTAAGGGGGAGCCCTAGTGAGAGGCAAGTCTCAGAGTGGGCTTCGTGCTGCAACGAAACAGTGAAAACTTATCTGGGTGACAGATTGGAATAAATTTCTATCAAGCAGTGCTCAGGGGATTGACCAAACAAACACCATTTTTGGAAAGCTAATCTCCCTTCTCAAGGAGGATATTCATCACGAAAATGGGCAGACTGATGTGTCTGAAATCGCATCAAAGGTGGAGCCTTTGAGCTTCCATCCTTGAATAAAGGACTTCATTTTCTGAATCTGAGACTTATTACCTTTGAGCAACGCGAACTTTGCAAGGAATCACTGTATGATCGACAGGTGCAATGAGCTACTTTAGCGTCCACTGAAATGGCTTGTACACACCATAATCCTGAGGCCGGTCATCCGAGAGACACGGAGCCCTGACAAATCGAAGCCATGGAACTTAACATTATTGAACCAACAAAACGATACCTCGATTAATGACAGGACAAGAAAATGATAGTGGCAGTTAGCACTGATCCGCGAACTTTAAGCGTTTCTTTGTGTTTCACATTTTGTGCTGATGATCAAATATCTGCGGAAATTCGCGGTATTTGAATGAGACGGGCTGTGTGGATGTTACGTACGGCCAGGTTCATCAAGAACAAGTCCAAACCAACTTACTTATCGGGAAACAAACCCTTGATTTGACTATGTAATAAGTAGAACCCGTGAGCGGGGCCTGTGACATACAGTCTCCGGTCATGTGTCAGGCGCCACTGCTGCGATAACGGGGTCTGAAACATTGGTCGACGCACAGACCCATTACGCATGGACAGCACGAATGTAGTGACCCCTAAATTGCCTAATTGGTATGCCTCGGAATGCGAGTCCGATGATGAGTCCAAACATAACGGAGGAGGTTGACATGAAAATCTCAGGTTGACGTACCCTGAAAAGGGTGCCACGAATGTTATCATGCTGTGGAATTCATGGATTCGCTGGTGGCATTGATGGCATCAAACACTGCTTCCGAAGTGAATGCAGTTCTCAGTAGCGCCTTGTGATGACGCTAAGGTTGGGATTCGGGCTGTCGGGCAGGGTCCTGGGAGCCGTTGTAACCACTCAGTCTGGAATACGAACATGAGGCTGTAATTGAGTTATAGAGAGGATATTGCATATAATACTGATGCTGACTTGTTGACAATGTCGAGCGACATTATTGTACAACTTGAATCCAGGAATTTTGCTGTTGAAGACCAAGTGGATGTTTGCGTCTGCTTGGCAGTCGCTGAGGATGATTGGGGTCACAGGATCTCAAGTCACCCTTTCTCCTGGTCGTTCACCTTCTCTTCTTCCCATCAACGATATATCGTTTCAACTCCCAACAAGCCTTCGTTAACATCTCCAGCACTAACTTCTAGTCCCCTTACTCTTTTGCTGTTTTTTTAGCCGCGAGTTTGCTCTAATTGCTTCAGTACTGCCGCATCATCAACATCAAGTAGGCGCTCGCTACCAGTCGTGCCACTTGTTCCTTCCGATTTCAAAGAACACGTGCGATTTCCTGCAAGGAACAATTCTTTTTCACAGATGGCTTCCAACGTTCCAATAAACGGTGTTAAGATATCTCGTACGTGCTCTCAATCAACCTCCACACTTTTCTACATCCAAATTTGGTCGCTATGTCTCTTTTGTAATTGTCATTCCTCCCCCGTCATTTCCCGTCTCATTCACTGCCTCCTTCTATCTCCATGTCCATGTCATCTTCATCTAACGACATTTCTACTCAAATAGCCATCGATGATCCCCATAAGGTTGTCAAGGTCATCGCAACAGACGGTAAAACATCAGAACAGAGGGAGATTGCCTACACAAATTGCAAAGTCATTGGAAATGGCTCTTTTGGAGTTGTATACCAGGCAAAACTCGTAGGAGAGTCAAAGGATAGAGAGGATATAGCCATCAAGAAAGTCCTTCAGGACAAGCGATTCAAGGTACGTAATCCTTTTTGTTTGTCACATTGCGCTTCTGCGCTGGTCGTGATGCGGACTGCTTTTCAAGATGATGCTGATGGAACGGTTTTTGTCGGTCGGCGTGATATCATCGATATCGCGCGAATAGAATCGTGAACTACAAATCATGAGACTTGTGTCACATCCAAACGTCGTCGACCTCAAAGCTTTTTTCTATTCCAATGGAGAAAAGGTTTGAAAGATCTCCCTTTCCTCATCTTGGCGCTGATTTCAGCTTTACTTTTAGAAGGATGAAGTTTACCTCAATCTTGTTCTTGAATACGTTCCAGACACCGTTTACCGCGCCAGCCGTCATTACACAAAGTTGAAGCAGCCTATGCCGATGCTTCAAATCAAGCTGTACATGTATCAGCTTCTCCGGTCACTTGCCTACATACACTCAGTGGGCATCTGCCATCGCGATATTAAACCTCAGAATCTCCTGTTGAACCCTGCCACGGGCGTTCTGAATTTGTGCGATTTCGGCTCAGCAAAAATCCTCGTCGCTGGAGAGCCAAATGTTAGTTACATTTGCTCGAGGTACTACAGAGCACCTGAACTTATTTTCGGTGCTACCAACTACACAACAAACATTGGTGGGTAACAATATTATTCCGTACTGTGTGGGGGAGAGTAACGCTGTTCTAGACATATGGTCGACGGGTTGTGTGATGGCAGAGCTAATGCTAGGCCAACCTCTGTTCCCTGGGGAGAGTGGTATCGACCAGTTGGTGGAGATCATCAAGGTTCTCGGGACGCCATCGCGAGAACAAATTAAGACGATGAATCCAAATTACATGGAGCACAAGTTCCCTCAGATCAAGCCCCATCCGTTCTCCAAGGTATCACCGCCGTTTTGTGGCGTTGTTACCTCGTGTACTTACGTACGACAGGTATTCCGACCACGCACTGCGCCCGAGGCGATTGACTTGGTTGCGAAGCTACTGGAATATACGCCGGGGGCACGTTTAAGCGCAGTAGAGGCTATGGTGCACTCATTCTTTGACGAACTACGAGTGGAGGGGGCAAGGATGCCGAACGGGAAGGAATTTCCACGTTTATTCGACTTCACACGGGAAGGTATTGTCAGTAGTTTTGGAATGTCAACGGCTGCTGACCAGTTGATGACAGAGTTGTCGGTGCGACCAGACTTGAACCGACTTCTGGTTCCGCCACACTGCGAGGCTGAGCTACGCTCACGGTCGATCGACTTGGATACCTTTGTACCAATACCTCTGGATCAGCTTAAGATCACGCTTGATTGAGAGGAAGGAGGGTAGTATCTGATTTGTGGGTATCCTATAATATTGATCGATGAGTGCGTGTATCCTGTCTGTGTTGTATTGATTCTGTATCGTGTTCACGTCATATTTTTGTTGAATTGATTTTCCACGGTCTGTTCAGTACCACTGTACCACTGTACACATGATGTCTAGTACTATTATGCCTGTCGTTGAGCAGATGTTTTGTTGCTGCTCCGAGCTTATGTTGGCTGAAATTGCGTGACACGAACTATTATGGTGTGACACGCTAGAGTTGCGTGATGTTGCGTGAGATGTTCGCGAGTGGGGCGAGTCTTGACTCCATTCGACACGATTAACAGTAGCATGAGATTATTATTTAATCCCTCAGTCTTTCATTTTTTCACCTATGGAGACCTCAACAACTGAATGCGATACCTTGCCTGCTCCACGTCTTGCTTCGGGTCTAACTCCTGATCTAGACCATAATCGATCTCCCTCACCTTTCTCAATTTCTGAGCCTTCTTCTTCCGGCTCATCTCCGCTCCCAACAATCTCAGACATTGAGATGTATACTACTCCAGCCGCTCAGAGAAAACTATGTGTTCGCCATCAGAGAATGGCAGACGAGGGTACCAATTTAAAGCTACAGCAGGTGTGTCTGATTAGCTGATCGTGAGTGAGTTAGTTCAGCTGCTGATTTAAGCTCTACAGGCTCTTGATGCTCTCCCCGTACAAGAGCGAGAAGCTGTAAATGCCATCTGGTCCGGTTTCTCCTCGTCATCACATCCCAGGCGAGAACTCATTCTCCAGGGCATTCTTACTATGTGCTGTTTTTCTCAGCTCTCCTTGCTAACGGAGCAGCTTGGTCAGCTAATCCGCATTGACCCATTCACCGTCCTTCCCCGAGAGGTATCACTCAGGGTCCTTGCGTATCTCGACGCTACCTCTCTTTGTCGCGCTGCTCAGGTGAGCAAGCAGTGGAAAAGCCTAGCCGATGACGACGTCCTATGGCGCGGAATATGTGAACAACACATTGGGCAAAAATGCCTCAAGTGTGGATGGGGGCTACCTATTCTCGAACGAAAGCGTGCTGTCCGCACGAGCTCTGCGTCTCCATCGTCGTCTCCCCCTTCATTCCCACCTCATCATACCCCTGACTTGTTCGTTTCCGAAATACCCGACGCCTTACCGTTCACACGGCCTTGGAAGGATGTGTATTCAGAGCGCTTATCAGTCGAGCGTAATTGGCGTCGAGGGCGATGTTCCGTTCGGACGCTACGCGGGCACACAGATGGTGTCATGTGTCTCCAGTTCGATGAGACCTTGCAGCATCCTTCTTTCCCAATCCTCATCACGGGCTCGTACGACCGTACTGTGCGTGTGTGGAACATTGAGACCGGCCTCGAGGTACGCTGCCTCCGTGGACATACGCGTGCTGTGCGGGCTTTACAGTTCGATGAAGCGAAATTGATCACAGGAAGCATGGACCACACCATTCGAGTGTGGAATTGGCGAAGTGGGGAGTGCATACGTACGCTCGAGGGGCATACGGAGGGTGTCGTTTGCCTCAACTTCGATTCCAACGTGCTTGCTAGCGGGAGTGTGGATACCACTGTAAAGGTGTGGAACTTCCGCACGGGCGAAGCGTTCACGCTCCGCGGGCACCGTGACTGGGTCAATTCCGTACGGCTATGGGAGTCTGAAGACCCAGCGGATGTTGAGATGGGCTGCGGATCGGGTAGTGAGCCAAGGATATGTCAAGGCACACTGTTGTTTTCAGCCTCAGATGACGGGACCATTCGCTTATGGGACCTTGCACGGCGGACATGCGTGCGCCAGTTCACGGGACATGTTGGACAAGTGCAGAGCCTGAAACTACTGGAAGTGGACGAGCGCTGTGATGAAGGCATCGGTCGCCAAGAGCATCGCATTGCGGACAGTAACATGGCCCATATCGCCCAAGTTGGAAACCCAACGAACCCCTTCGAAGTTTGCACGGTTATTACACACGATGCTAATAGCGAGAGCATGGAGGACATACAGAGCCTTGATCGTGTCACTAGGGAAGTGCTGGCAGGTAGCAGTCGGAAACGTGCCAAGAGGCCGGTGCTCATTTCTGGAAGCCTTGATAACACTATCAAGGTTTGGGACATTGATACGGCGAAAGCCACCCAGACTCTATTCGGCCATATTGAAGGTGTCTGGGCGGTAGCGAGCGATAAGCTGCGGTTAATCAGCGGCAGTCATGACCGTACTATCAAGGTCCGCCCTGTTCTTGAATAATCATATGCCTTGAAACTTAAATATCCGCTTTTAGGTGTGGAACCGCGAGGAAGGCCGATGTACAGCTACATTGGTTGGTCATCGTGGTGCTGTAACATGTTTGGGTCTTGGTGAGGACAAGATTATCTCTGGTAGCGATGACGGAGACATCAGAATATGGTCTTTTGCTGGAGATATCCGGCTTTGACAAAATATATGCTTTTCTTCTATTTCGTTGTCGTAATTTTCCTGGATCTCATTGCTTTCGAGTTGCTTGTGTATGACGCATTATTCCCGAGTTCATTATGTAGGACTAGAATGTCCATCTCGCAATATAGTCTAGCTTCTAGTACAAAAGAAGTCTATATATAGGATCAAATAGCGAACACAATAGTCCGAGTAGCGCAAGGGGTACTAAGCGCTGAATATGACAATGCCCTTCAGCTTGGAGTTCGACCTTGGAGCAGGTCCAAAATTTTCGCAAGGTGTCCGTCCGACCCCATGGCTGGATTCTTGGCCTATTCAGCCACGAGCATAGGGTAGCCATGATCAAAGAAGAATGCTCTGGAGGAGCGAGCGAGCCTAACACAGCTCGTCATTTCTGTGTCTTCGGAAACGACATTCTGGAATCAAAGAGAGAATGGGCGACAAGGTGGAAACACTGCAGTGCCTTACATAGTAATCACCGACCGGCCAAACCACCTTACAGAAGCGGCCACCTTCCGCATCCCTGCTGTTGACTGATGGCTCCGCGGCAAGATATCGCGGAACCGCGGAATAGGCTAATGTTTGAAATCGATTCAAAATCTTTGAAAAACGATGGTCCGTTCCGTTAGTAAGCCAATTCAGTAAATTAATGCATTGTGATGCTGAACCACGACCTACTACAGACGGCACACAGGAGCACACAGGTCACCATCTGTACCATGGGCAAGCGGAATGAGCGTGTGATCTGCGGTGTTGTCATCGGCTTCTTGCAAATAGACCTTGGGTGCCACCCAGCAGCGTTGGAGTTCGATCGTGGCAACTTGCACTTGTGAAGTTAGCAGAAGTCAAAAGCGGAAAGCCAGAACGTGCTGTCCGTTGCTTGAGATCACGAACTCGATGCCAGAAACAACAGATACCAATGAGTAATCTGATAGCCAATTACAAAAGCAAATATAATTTCGATATCAATATCATGGCGTGCCTGAGCGATGCTACGATGTGCAACCCAGAGTTTAATGACAATGGAGCATAAAGAGTTGCCTGTGCGTCATAATAATATTGTAGGAGACTCGTTGACGAGAAATGTCAATCAATCAAGGTCAATTGGAAGTTTTCGCCATACGTACCAGAATACCTCTCGGATTTGCAAGATGCATCAATGTATGCACTTGAACTTTATCCTTTCTTGTCGCCATATTGCTCCCTGGGCTTCTGTGTTTTATTTCTTATTGTCGTGTTTCATTACATATGCCAGTTAGAATATTAATGCTCATCTTGTTCGCGATGTAACGTGGCTTCTATGCAAAGTACATTCTTCTGCATATGATCAAATGCCGAATGCAATAGTCGGAGCAGAGTAAATGGCGCTGACGACCTGAACGCCCCCCTCCTCACCTGCGCCTGCCGCAACGTACAGCGGAACAAAATGCTCAACAGAGGGATGCGCCTGCGCGAAACCATCGTGCTTCATGAGGTCGAACAGCGACTGCTTCCGTTCGTCAAGCTGTCAAGAATGAAAATGAGCAATTCTGAAAAGAGATGAGTATGTAGTATAAACCTGGGACTTGGATGCAGCCACTGTTATTGCCTGATCAAACATCGTCACGTCGGGTGACGCTGACTTCTCTGAAAATTGCTTTCGATCATGAAGATTGTGGACGGTCAGACCACCTGCCAAGATGAGGATTCCATCTTCCCTATGAATGAGAGAACGTCAGAAATGTCGGCTCTTACTAGAAGATTTGAATATAAAGAAACCCCAGATACAAACCTGAGTTTTGATAAGGCCTTTCCGACCGCCCAGTTCTGTTCTGGATCACTAGACCTTTCGATGGATACTTGAACGATAGGCACGTCATCGACCTTGTCCCCAAACATAAGCTTGAAAGGAACAAAAACCCCATGGTCGAATCCCGGGCCTTGACGTGGCGGAGAAGTCCGGCCATCCCATCCGCGGTTCTCATTAATGCTGGAGAGCTTGGCTTTTCCGCCTACCTACAGACATATCAAAATCGGTATGAATAAAGTGAATGACTTTCTGTTGAGAGACCTCTTTATATAACAGGATGATGCGCTCAGCCAAAGCGCGGTTTCCTTTGGATTCGAATGTTTGTTGATAATAATAAGGCTCAAACCCGAAGTAGTCCATGAGTAAAGGATTCCTGTCTCCGTAATCCGTCACTGTCAGACCTGATGTCAGCTAAGGGTTCCTTGGGGGTACACTATAATCCTCACCATGACGTACCCCTATCGTTTCCCAGTGAGCGCTGAATACGACAATGCCCTTCGGCTTGTACTTGGCCCTCAAAGCTGGTCCGAGATCACGCAAAAAATTTGCAAGATCGCCCCCCGGGCCCATAGTACTTGTCATGGGTGAGTTCGTGACCTGCCTGGCAATGAGCATCGGGGACCCGTGCCCAAAGAAGAAAGCAGGGATTTTCTCTGGGGTAGAAGGAAGTGCATCTAACGCGGTTCGCCATTCGCTTTGTGTTTTCGGGAAAGACATTATAATGCTAGTTAAAGAGAAGGAATGGCGTCGTCTCCAACGTTATAGCTTGAACAGCATTGACGTGGCTATCCTTCTAGGGCTCCTCCATTACTTATCATACTTATCTGTCCGGCCAGTCAAAGACATGTCACGTGTCACATTATGTAGCGCATGTGACACATCGACGAAAGTGTGACATGACGAGGAGTTCCGAGTCTTGAACGGCTTTTTCAGAAATTTGAAAGCATATGGAAGATTGGTCCATATTGAATTTGCAGGTGTAGTTTGGAACGCGTCAATAGCGAGACAATTATATATATATAATTTAGTTTGTATTCTTTGCAACACAACTTGTTCTCTCATCGGCCAGACTTAGTATCGACGGCTTGCCTCGTAGCCCGGTAAACCTTGCGCTGATCAACATTTTCAAACATTGCAATCAGGTGATTGGTAGCGTGGCCGAGTTGGTCTAAGGCGTTGGATTTAAGAACTGATCTGAATCCCAATGGGCGAAAGTCCGCGCGAGTTCGAACCTCGCCGCTACCATGATTTTTTTTTTTGATCCTTGCCCAAAGAATAACGCGATAGTGCGCTGCCTTCACAATAAAGATAAAAAACCAACAGTATGATAATGATGGCTACAGGTTGTTGGACAAAAAAACAGCTTTGGTACATCTCGATTTCGTTTTGGTATCACAAAAAATCACTCTCAGAAAAGCTACTAGGAAATCAATGACACAAGTCGAACCGAATTGTGCCGCATACTCACCCCTTCGATGTTGTCTTCTCCTCCTGGACGCTGTCGCACCCTGTAGCTGGGATAAGCGGAGAAGACAGCGAAGCAAAAGGCACGTACTTGCGAGTGGGAATAAATTGAGCCTGGGGTGGTTCGCTTCCGAACAAATTGCCAATAGAGTCATGACCGCCCGGCTGCGTTCTTACGCGTCTAGTTGACTGCATTAGTTCGCACCACAAGACTGTTGGGTCTATGATACCTCGTAGGCTTGAAGTCATCCGGGCTGCTCGGAGAACTAGTTTGAACAGGCTGAATGCTTTACGTTAAATTTGGCAAAGGGAGCATCTGAATATCACTGCACCTGTGTCGCGGTTGGCGGCGGGGCAGTGGACAATGCATCATCTGTGAATTCTTCCGCAAGAAGTCTGTTGATTTCTGACGAAGAAATCGTGGGACTCGTAGCTGTCTCTGTTTATTCCAACTCTGTCAAAGACCAAAACCAGGTCACAAATGCCAAAATCACCAGGCAGCTCCTCTTCGGTGCTCGTTAGCTTGCCAAATTTGGCATATCCTGTGAATCAAATGAGCACTTCTCATTAAGAGAGATAATTTCGATTATTCACGAGGCAGCTTCTGAATATTGCTAAAGCCAGTATCAACAGTAGTCCCTGTGTATCTGGATGGATCCTGAGCCTCGCGGGTATCAGGAAGACGTTTGACAGGCCACTTACTTGAGGAACTCGACCAGGCTGCGCTTGGTGAAGACGATGCTCGTGTTATCCCAATCAAGCATCCCTATGATAATAAGTTGGGCGCGTTTCACGACGAGCCATGAATAAAAATACCGAGGTTCATCGACCAGTCCTTCTCTTTAGACATGTCAACAGCTTGCGAAGGGGTAAACCTGTATGAAGTCATGCAGCATGTTGAGATATAGCCGTTACACAAACACTTACTTCGATGTCATTTCGATCGCGCAGATATATCAAAATCAAAATCTTTATAAGTTTGTGAACGATGGTCAACTTGAAAGACGCGTTCGATTGTGATACGGTTGTTCCCTTTTCTGGCCATTCCATGGACCGTGGAAAGTAACAACTTATTTAAGTGCTGCCGTCAAAGTCACCAGCTGGCCTGCTGTGTGGAAACTACAGATGTTGGTGAGGTGCCGTTTCCTGGTTGCGAATGCTCTACGGCCCTCGACAAGAACCATCACATGCAGAGCATCCGATTTCTACACGGACCCCTCAAAGAACCAGGAGCCTGGGGTTTCTACATCCCCTGACATTTCCCCAAAGCAACGGGAAATTCTGGATAGAGCACTGCGCGTGGATCAGGCTGGTGAAATTGCGGCTAATTGGATTTATCGAGGACAATTTGCTGTCCTTGGCCGCGACCCGCGAGTTGGGCCCTTGATTCAAGTGAGCATCTCAAACAGCAATCCAACCATGCCCAATCAACTTATTCTGGCGGAAGGAAATGTGGGACCAAGAAAAATTACATTTAGAAGTGATGGACAAATTACAGCTACAACATGAGGTACGACCAACATTGTTGTCTGACGTCGCCAAAGTTGCTGGCTATGCACTCGGAGCAGCGACAGCCCTCATGGGCAAAGAAGCAGCCATGGCTTGCACAGAGGCAGTAGAGACTGTCATAGGAGAACACTACGATGAGTTTGTCCCTGTTTTTAGCTATCATATTCGCAAGTCTTACGCTCCAGTAAATTCAGCCAACTGAAAGACTTTGAGTTGTTGCCATCATCTCATCCAAGCATCCCACTTCTGAGGGACGTTATCAAAGAATTTAGAGATGACGAGTTAGAGCACTTAGACACTGCTGTTGAGCATCACTCTCAGCGAGCCCCTGCGCATGCACTACTTAGCGCAGTTGTTGCTGGTGGTTGCAAGGTGGCCATAGAATTATGCAAGAGATTCTGAACCATGCTGGCTTCGATAGAAATAGAGACATAATTGATAGTAAATGGGATGTATCTACCTCATAGTACGCGCTACAGACGATATGGTCAAAATCACGCCTGTGCCAATGCCTCCCCTTTTCTCTTGCCTGCCCAGTTCCATTCCAACTGTAATAACGACATCAGTGAATCATGTAATGAATGTAAAGGAAGCAGTGTACGTGTGTTTTGCTTGCCAGGTAATAGATCGCTCCAGGCACGAGTACGAACCCACACATCGTGACCCATGTTGTCCGTGGAGTAAATCTGAAATGCTTATACGCATCTTCACGCTAAAAACAAAGGAAACTTCAGAAAGACAGAGGCACGCGGTTGAACCCGACTGACCATACGATTCCATCTTTCAATTGCGGGATCGACCTAGAGGGCGTATTAGAGGATGAATATTGAGTTCAAGAGTACGTCCAAACCTTCAAAAAACCTTGATTCGTTTAGAAGTTGTCAATATATCTTCAAGCATTGTTAAATTATGAACTGCTCACTGGGTACTGCCATGGTCGTACTATTAAGAGGGAGTGGTGTTGTTGTAGCTTGTTTGGCCGCGCTTATTGGCAGCGTTTCTGTGTGCTGCGTGGTTCCTCGTGAATATCTTTTGCTTCTTGACTTTCATCGTTTTTCAAGGGAATTTGTGTCAACTCTTTTTATTCCATGGCTTATAACCGTGACTGGGATAAAGGAAAGGATAACTGGGGCGACAGTGGGGCATGGGCTACTGACAGAGGAGGTAGAGGAAGGGACGATGACTACGGGGATGGGAAGCGTAGGAAATTTAACAATGGCGTGCGTGGTCCTTCTGTTAAACTTATGCCTTTTCTCATTTGTGCTCATTAGGGATACGACACGAGCAATGCCTACCAAGAATACAGCTATGAGGCCTCCTACAATCAACAGTCTCAGAGCAGACCACAGGACTTTGCACACGATCAGTCTCACGACGACAAGCACCAGAAAGGCTTTCAAGGAAAAAAGCGTCTAGTCCCTAGCGAACCCAGTCCCCACGTCATCTTCCTAGGACTGGATCCTGACTTTTCTGAGGCGGATGTTTGTCGACGCGCTTTACATATCTTCGAGTACCGAGCTGAATCTATGCTATACTTTAGCTGCAGGCATACCTGTCCAACAATGGATGCAACATTGAAACGGTCACCATTATAAGAGACAGATCAACAGGCACTTGCCCATTCGTATTCATATTCATACCGTGCATTGACGTTTGTGGCCGTTGAATTTTTGAAGGTATCTCAAAGGGCTTCGGCTTTGCCCAGTTCGCGAGTGTTGAACATGCCCGTGCATTTGTGGATCCCATTTTCCCGTTTATTCAGGTCCCTCCACCCGCTTCGCATGGCGCTTCAGCGACAGCTACATTCTATAAGGCCCTTGAGACCGGCATTCCCCACAATGGTCGACGGGTCAAGATCGACTACTCGCAAAGTGCTTTGCCTGACAAAGCTCGTGGTCGCCAGAACATGAACGACGGCACGCGTGACATTGGCAATACCCAAGGGCCAGTGCTACTTTTCCGTGGTCTAGATCCGCTGTCGGGACCGCAAGCGATTGCTCAGGCCATGATGAACTCAGCAGGCCCCGGGAAAAATGGAGCTAAAGGCATGAAACGCATTATCCTCATCAAAGATAGGGTCACATTGGCCAGCTTCGGATTTGCATTTGTTGAGTTTGTCGACAATCAGGTAACGTGACGAAGAGTGATACAACATTAGTATCTGATCCTGGTTTCTTCTACAGTCCGCAGCTTCAGTGTTGGCTACTAGCATGTCTCCTCAGATTCATCCTTCAGGCTTTCGAATCTCCGACAAGCCTGTTGCCGCTTCGTTTGCTCATCAATACTCATTCCAACCAGTTGATCATATGCTGCGCGACGAAACTGCAATTCCGTCGTCCATCAACCTGGGTGGAGTTGAAGGCGCATTCGTAAAGTATTGGGATGACTCTGCCATGGTTGCTGTCTTAGAATTCAAAGTGGAAGAGCCTGCGCAACCCCAGGTCCAACCCTCAACTGGACCTGTCAAAGAGAAGAAGGAAAAGAAGAAGAAAGGTGCGCCAACGAAATACTCCTCTTTCTCTCACTAATCAAGTGGGGAACTAGATGATGCCTTGCACAAACCTCCTGCGCCTTCAGTATTGCCTATCTCGGATAAACCTGTCACACTCAACTTCAACAGAGGTGCTCTTGGAAATAAACTCAATGTATCGACTGCAAAGGCTCCGGGACAGCTGTCACTGGGATTTTCTGCTGATGATTTCGCTGATGACGAAAATGACGCCGAGCCGGCAACCTCAGCAGAA